AAACTCTAGATAAATATCTAATATCTTACATTGGGGATGCAGAAAAGCATCAGTTCGCTTTTAATGACTGCTCCAAACTAACTTAAAGTCTTTGTCTGCACTAGACGAAGTGCGGTTGGAATTTTCCTTTTTGTACAGAGATCAAAACCTTTTGTCTGAGTTAATATCGTGTTTATAAAAAGCTTCAAATAGGAGTCAAGACAAACACAAAAAACCAACTTTTCCTGGTAGCTCATGAGCAACAGCAGGTAGAATAACCTTGGGCAGAATAAAGTATAAAAAGCAGCGATAGAGGCTTGCAGAGAGCAGACATACAGACACACCCCCATCATTGTTTTTGGTAATATGACCCATTTTGCTCAGCGCTTCACTAACACAGACTGGGGGCGGAGACAGAAAGTAATTGTGCAGGAGTTGGAGCCGTTTGGGCGTCCCTGTCGGAGCAAAAAGAGGCTAGTTTCTTTGGTGCTCTAGACTGGATCCTGCTTGATTCTTCAACATAACACCATTTAGAGCTGGGTGCTCATAATAAATGGGCCACCTCGACTATTATTTTTTTACGCTTAATTTGATACCACCTTTACGTATCGCCTTATTGTTATGGTAACCAGGTTGCTTAGTTACTTCAATGTGAGGTCAATTTCTGCTTAAGTCGCCTTTAAAAAACCTAGAAACAGATTCTCTGCCTTCTAACCTTTTTCTATGTTCCCCGTTTCCTTGACCAGAGATCCAGTGGAGGGAAGCCAGTATTGTTTAAAATCTGAAGTAATGTCTGACTTAAGTGTTTTACAGCAGCCACAGGTTTTTATTTGATATTTGTTTTGACGTAATGCTTTGTTTGCTTTGCTGTCTGTTGTGATCAGACATTATTCCTTCAGAAACCTTGTTCACATCCAGCAGGGGAATTCATTTCATTCCTTTCTGTAATGTGGTACACACTTTCATGCAAGCACACACTCTTTTATTTTCTGTTTGCTTGATTTTGTTCAAGAATCCAAGTCTTAAAGCCAAAAGTCTCTGCAATAGTCAGCTCCATTCATTCCATTATCTCGTAATGAATAAAGCAGAGTCGCCATGCTTCCAAACCACGACGGCACACGCGGGTGGAAAATGTCACAACTTTGGCTAATCTAACAGTATTTCGTCAAATAGATGTTTAAACCTATACAAATTTCTCCAAACGTTTGTTTTGTTGGTGCTTATTTGTTCTGTGGATTTTTTTGTTCCTTCAGTCAAGTGTGACTAAAGTCAACACTTCTGTTTCCTGCTGTTGGAAATGAAGCCGCTGTGAAAAGCGCACACAAACAGCCGAGACATTTTGTGTTTGGTGCAGTAAAAGTCTGCTGTATTCTGTTCTGAAACGCCATCTTCATCCTTCTATCCTACGCTTATAAACCGTGAGACTTCTGCAGCAGGCCCCTCGGTTAAGAAGTCTTGCTGTCTGTTTATCTTTCTTTTAATGATGTATGTGGCAGACAAAAATGGATAGACAACTGAGGATCGGCAATTACTTATCCGGAGTCCGAGCTTAGATGAGGATAGACAAAGAGAGGCTGAGACAGACCGCCACAGAAAAACAAATAGGTGAATCTAACTGGAGGGTCGTGTTTGCACCACCGCTCCTCTGATCTAAATTTCATGAGACTATTAAAAACAGAGAGGGATGGGGAAATAGAGCTTGCTCCTCTGCTACACCTCCAAACACTCTCCTTCTCACTGTCAAATAGCGAAGAAGAGCGTTGGGGGGAGAGAGCCAGGGTGGCAGCCATGCTTGTCTCCCCAGCACAATGGGTTTATAGGACTGAGGGTTGAAATGAATAGCTGGTACTTGTAATGAGTTGGCTGCAATAAGCCACCCTCCTAAGGCAGTAGTTGTATTGTGTGATAAACTTAACTGTAGACCTTGATTTCTCTGAAAGAGGAGCGTTTTCTGATGCACGTCTGTCGCTCTGCCTAAAAGGGTCACGCTGATTGTGTTGGTGGTTTGTGTAGACAGCGTTTGTATATATGATTCAGTTTCATGGGGAGTCTGGGGGGGTGTGTGTCTCTGTTCTGATTGTCATAGCAACCTCATCAGTTCTGTCCCCCAGCTACATATCCTATCACTGTAATTCATGCTTTCATATCTCTTATTTGTTTTTTCTTGTACAACCATCAACTGCATAGGTAATAATTTATTGTCTGCTTATGAGGGACAGCATATATAAAACTAGTGCTCAGCCAAATATCACTAGACTCTTATAATACAAGAGTAGATCATTAAAACAGTCCTTCACTGAAAAAATGTTTTTTACTTATTATTTTTGAAAATGATCGGTCATTCTGAGTTTTTCATGCAGGCTGAACATGAAAATAGTCTCCTACATCTATCTCCTGCATTAACTTCTGATAGAAAATAGACGATGAAACTCTAGGATTTGAAAATCCTCACAGACCTGCATTACAGTCACTGAACATTCATGGACTCACCCATCGTGACCCGTGATGGGGAAGGCTGTTGTTGGTTTAGCGTCCTAGAACCACAGAGTACGTCACTGCTAGAAGAAGCTAACCATTAGCATTAGCAACTATACCATGAAGCAAAACTCATTCAGGCTTGTGTTATTTGTGGAGGTAAAACATTAACGTTGCTGTCTAGGGATGTCACGGTAACTGGTATAGTGGTAAACTCCGGTAAAAATGTTGGCAATAATAATTACCATCTTGTTTTTTTTTTTTTTTTTGTTTAAATTTTATCTCTGTGAATTCCCGTGGCCGCATTGTAGAGGCGCTGACCCTTACCAGCCACCGTCTCATCTGCTGAAGTTGCCGCACATCCGCACTTTGTAGTTTACAACCAAAACTTTCCTGAAGCTGAAATATTGGCTGAAGGAGGAAAGGGCAGTGCTCAGGACATTTTTCAGCACTTAAAGAAGACAAAGTCGGCATTATGGGCATATTTTGGATATTTGAAGAATGCAGAGGGACCATTGATAGAAGATGGCTATTCTGTTTGAAGCACGTGCAGGAAAAATTGTCTGCAGAAGGCAGCAACGCTTTGAATCTCATGACACATCTGTGTGACATCACCCATAACTCTACAGTCAATGCAAGGCAATTTAAGTTGGCATTTTAGCTGAAATGCTTGATGCAAGGACTTTGAGTTGAGGGAGAATGCAATGAGTCGCCCTATAGTGAAGCCGGAGCGCCCACTGCCAACTTCTTAAATGAAATTTGCAAACAGAATGAAACACCTTGTTTGTTACACTAGGCAGCGCGACTCTGTCTTAATGTTCTGTTAAGCTGCTTCAAGCCAAGAGCGCTCAATTTGTGTACACAAAGGGATATGTGCAGAGGGGAGGAAGGACCGAGGGCAAGTTGATGGATGGATTAGTGTCTGATCCTTAAGAGTGGGACATTCATAAGAATTGGACGATGTTTTTCAAGGATTGTTGGTTTCAGAGGTGATTTTAAATTATTATTTTTTTGACAAAACATTGTAGTCATTGGTTGCCATCGGTATGTGAAGAGTGTTTCAAGCAAAATGGCCAAAATCTTCAGAAAAACATCTAAGAATAAACCAAGGTTGAGAATAATCCCAAAAAGCTAATAACTGCATAGTTTTTAACCTTGAAAACACCACATTTTATTAGCCATCATACTAAATTGTTATGCAGGTATGAATTATGGCAGACAGGTGCCAACAAACCTACCTGAACCCTTGAAAAATGAGCATTACGCGTTCCTTTATTTTGGAGGCACAGTTTAGGGGCGAAGGGGTTTGGACCAATGGATTGTGTATAGTCAAACAGCTTTTCATGGATTTCTATTCTACCTTTAGGTTGAGCAGGGTTTCCCCCAGAAAATGAGTTAAGCCTGGCGGCTTCGGCTATCGGGGGAGGGGTCGCTCGCTCCGTCCCACAGCGCTTCTCTGTGAGGGTGGGGGGTTTGCACATGTTCCGCTGCTGTTTCTCACCAGTATCAGCTGATGGAGGGCTCTAGTTTCATTGCGCCGTTTGTGTCAGCGCCGGACACGGTAGGGTCGGGGAGGGGGGCGGGGCATGACGGTTAGCCTGGCGGGTGGGCAAGCAAAGCCTGACGGGCCGCCAGGCTTATAAAGCGCTGGGGCAAACCCTGGGCTCAGCCTGCTGTAGTGGCCATCTTGAATCAGGTTTACCATAAAGTTACTGGGCTGTAGATGTACATTTGATTATTACTTTCAATGAGTTTGATTAAAATCAGCCCACTGGCTCAAAATATAAAAAATAAAACTAAAAACAGAGACGGGCAAAAACCTTATAGCCCACCTTTATCCATTTGGTGGCAGGGGATAATTAAGGATCATTTTTTATATTTGTGCAAATAAATCAAAACTCATGTTTTCACACATACCTGGAATTTGACAACATTTTCTTCTTTTTAATTGATTTTCAGGACATATATTAGGTATTTTGTCTCATTTTTATTTTAATTGAATATATAGATAACTGTAGTTAATGGGAACATTAATACCGTAAATCCTCTAATATTGGCCTGTATTCAACTAACGGCCGGGTATCATATTTTGGCCGGTGTCTGAGTCGGCGGAGGTGAATAGTGGCCGGTATTTTATTGTGGCCGGGTGGAATGTGGTAACAAGCAAGTACCACGGGGGGGGGGGGGGGGGGGGGGGGGGGGGGGGGGGGGTTGTGTCATCCGTCTCACTTTTGATTTGCCAGCGGAAGCAGAAACTACTGTTGTTAAAAGAAATGTGTTTAACTTTGAAAATGTGGGCGCAATTTTAATTGTCAAAAACTCCAGCGAACCATTAGTTAATTTTGCTCAAATAGAAATAGAGGCCTGCCTCTAATTCTGGTCCTCCTTCCAATAAAGGCCTGGAGCTTGATGAGCTTGAGTCAAATACAGGCCTGGGCCTGTATTAGAGGATTTACGGTATTTTACGTTGTTATTCATGTGATTTTCTGCGTGTGTCTATTTGTGCTTGTTCACATATACAGTTGACATTTTATTTTTTTCATTAGATGGAGGACGGTCAGACACTGTTCGACTACAACGTGGGTCTCAACGACATTGTTCAGCTGCTGATCCGCTCTCAGACCGACCCTCCAGACAGCCCTGCAGCCCAAGACACCTCTGGTGTCGCCAGCAGTTCAGCCCTTCTCTCTGACCCCAAGTCTGAAAGCTGCAACTCCTCGGCTCCTATCTGCCAGGCGGCTGCAGAAACTTCAACCAAAAAGAACAATGAGAGCAGCAGCATCACTTCCAGCACTGTAAATGAAACCAAACCAGACACCTGTGCTACCAGTGACTCAGCCAGCACCAAAAATGGGTTCAAGTCCTCCAGTCCAGCACCGGACACCCAGCCACCTACATCCAGCAGAACCACACTAATTAATCCTGGAATCGGCATGTACAAGGTGAGGATGGTTGTGCAATATCAGTGTGTCCTGTCATGTAAACCATTTGCTTTATGACAATGCAGCATTTTAAAAATTCTGACTAAATGACAAGGCTGAACGATTTTAGGAAAAGATTGAATTGCAATTTTTTTTTCGCAGCAGACAGAGGGGTACAGCCAATTTAATATCGGCTGAAGTAACAGCGGTATGTAAGGAAGATAAAAAAAGAAAATGACCAAAATAGGCAATTCTGTCAGTTGAAGAATTGGGTTCAGCGCCGGTACCACCGACCCTGGTGCTTGCAGCTACCGCTGTAAAGGTTGGTTTATGCTTGACGCGTTCGCGAGGTCCGCGCGGCAAAATTGCGTCATTTTAAAAACGACGCTCCTCCGCACGGCCCAAACTTTCCGCACCGCGCACCTAGGAAATTGTCTAACCACGCGGACGGTCGGACGTGGAAAAACATAGCGGACTGGCAAGAACTAGTATGGCAGAGGTTCGTAATTACAGACATTTGTATGATTCAGCTCTCAAAGATCACCGTGATCAACATGTTGTTAATAATTCTTGGAGAGAAATAGCTCGCACTGTCGGAAAAGACGAGGACGCTGTTAAATGCTGGAATGCCATGTTGTAAACAACAGTAATTTCTACTTCTACTATGGTGTAGTGTTGGATGCATGCCGTAGAGCTCCATGCTGCCCCGTTCAGTTTGGGAGAATATTGGCTCACCGCAGAGACGAGCCACACAAACCATAAACACTGCAAGTTGTGAAGCGCATTCCATCCACGAGCCGCATCACCAAGCGGAAAGTGAATGCGTCAAGCATAAACCAAGCTTAACACTATTAAAGCCAGGGAAAACCCCGGGTGTCTAAAATAGTTGACACAACATATTTTGTGTCAGTCAGGAGCGCTACAAAAAACTGCAGCTTTGACAATCACATGATTGTGTCGTTTTAAAATGCAATCTTATCGTTCAGCCCTACTAAGTAAACAGTAGTAGGCGTATTAAAGATCAAATTTATTGTGAAACCATTTTTTACTTATTTTTGAAATACAATCGGTCACTCTTTGAGTTTAACGTGTAGGTGGAATGTGAAAATGGTCTTCTACCCCTTTTTCCTGCATCAGTCACTGATAGAAAATAGACAAGAAAAAGCTGATTTTAAAAGCCAGTCAGATCTATGTCACACTGAAAATTAGCATTCATGAACTCACCCATGTTGGCTCATGACAGGGAAGGCTGCTGTTGATTTAGCGTCAAGAAACCACAGAAAACGTGTTGGCTAGTAGAAGCTAACCGTTAGCATTAGCAACTCCACAACAGGACAGAACTCCTTCAGACCTATGTGATTTAAATTGATAAAACATCAGTGTTTCAGAGCAAATGGAGTCAGTGGTAGAGTCGTGTTGCTGATGGACAAACAGAGGCAAGATGTCAGAATATCAGGAAATAAAGCTCCCAAACCTGCCGTGTTCTGCTCCTCTGTCCTCTGGTTCACTTCTAGTTCCTGAAACAGGATCGCCAGAGCTTACACACCTTAAGGTGCCTAAACACCTTGATCCTTATGCTATATATCAACAGGCTTTATTGATCTATTAGATTCACACCATAAAACACTTTCATTGAAATAATTTCACACAATAAAATCATATAAACTTTTAGCTTAAATTAACAAAGGGTGATGCTACCTAAACCCTGTTTGTGTTTCCACAGATTAATGAGCTGGTGGACTGCAGAGACGTCAGCATCGGTGCCTGGTTTGAGGCTTGCATTGAAAATGTGACCCTCGCTCCCAAAGGACAGATTGTTCCCACTAAGCCTAGGGTTGGTCGGCCCCCCAAAAGGACTAATGGAAAGCTGGAGGCCGAGCAGGGTCAGGGTCAGACCATGGACAGTAACAGGAATAATTCTGGGTTAAACTTGGAGAGTAATGGAGCCTCCACTTCTCAGACGGACTCTACAGCTGCAGAGATCAAAAACAAAGACGAAGACATAATTTACCATATTAAATATGATGAGTAAGTAATGGTTTCTTATTCTGGGGAAGGGTGCAGATGTAACACATCAAACTGTTGGGCAGGTGTCTGCTCATTTTGCAAAGCCGTGTAAACACATTGCAATTATAACATCAGTGTCGATGGCTCTGCAGGAATTTTAGGATGCTTTCTTCCGCCAGTGGGATTTAGAGCCGAGGTTGGTGTAGTTGATGCTACAATTCGGACTCGCAACTCTTGTGTTCCTCTTTTCCAGTGAATTCATTCAGAAGTACATGTTTCCATGGTAACCCATAAGTTCTCAGGAGCATTACTTCTTTACTTGCCTCCTTCAGCTTTGTCTGTAATTGCTGTGAACACGAGGCTGGTGAGACGTAGCCTCCTTGCTCCGTCTGACTGTTCATGTATGTTTTTTGCCAAATTCCTGATGAATATGAGGCTAGTTTGTGTGTGTGTGTGTGTGTGTGTGTGTGTGTGTGTGTGTGTGTGTGTGTGTGTGTGTGTGTGTGTGTGTGTGTGTGTGTGTGTGTGTGTGTGTGTGTGTGTGTGTTTTATGTAGACGTAATTTCGCATTTGACATTTCTAAATTTTGCCATCCTCAGTTTTAATTTGTTTTACTAGTTTTAGAGGAAACTAGGGGGCTCCTGGGGGACAACCTTTTCAGTCCGCTTTTTATTACAATATTAAAAATAAAACACTTTTATTTGTTTATTTTATTATTATAGTCTCCTGAGTCCTGCACCTTATTTGCTTTATTTAACTCAAAGCAAAGAATGTTAGGCAAAAAGGTAACTTAGGACCCAAATGTCACCATAATGTTTGATTTGGAGAGCATCTGTGAAGCAAATTTCCAGCTTTCACTTAAGCTGCAAACTGCACACAGTTCTCAGTTCTAGTGAGCCATTCTAGGTTGGTTTCATCATCCAGTTTGCCAAAGGAAAAAAGGGTGGGTAAGATTTGCTCTTCCCTCACCACCTGCCTGCATTGTCAGAGATAGACAGACAGACCAGTCCACCCAAAACAACCGCCATGCTTGTGTTGTGTGTTTCTGCAGAATCAAATGAGCTGCAAAAACAAAGGAAGTGAAATGTTGGGAGAATCTCTTCTTGGCTGCTCCTGTAAACCAATGAGGCGTGTGTGTGTGTTCTGTGTGTGCTGCACTCTAAAATTCTATGAAGTGATTACATTTTGGCTGCTCCAAAGGTGTGCCGGAGGTTCTCTGTGAAAAGATACACAGATAAGGAAAAAATCTGTATTTTATCTTTTTGCTTGTTTTATTGTGCAATGGCATTTTTAAGTAAACAACGTTAATGTTCTTCAGAGGTAGATTTATTTATTTTTTTACTAGATATTGTAGTGGTATGAATTATGTTTAAATACAGCTTGAAAGGCAGACACAACCACAACTTTTATCAATTATTAATAAGCATATATTAAATTAGCAAACAGGTTTTGAAATGAAAATGCTGCAGCGTTAGAAATGAGTCAACTCTAGTCTGTCTTTTACCATTTTTGGAAACTGGTCACATGTTTAAAACCAAAGTGAAAATCCACCTTTTGCACACCTTTACGTTAAGATGTTGCATCAGCTGATTTCTAAGTGGAAGCTCACGGACCGCCTGAGTGTCTGTTTAGCAGATATGTTCTCAAACTGAGAGCAGAGCAGATAAATCTGGCAGTGATTTGATGTGATTGCTACATGTTTTTGTAGTTTTCTGTAGAAGAAAAGCAGACGATTGGCTCTGATGGGATGTTTTTTAAGCAATATGAAAATTGGTGAATTTTTGGTTGGAGCTCTGTCTCCACAGTCCCCAGCAGTCACACACTGGAATAATGACAACTGTTTTACATAGAGGCTTCATACCTTAAAATAATTTTTATTTTGAGACGGTCTTTTTAATTATAACTCTAATTTCTCTTTTGCTACTGTGCTATGAAAGCAGAGAGGGCCTGCCTGGGAACCCCTGAGGTCTTAGCAGAGGGCGTACATGCTTAAACTGCCGTGGTGTTAATGTATGACCACAGACCTGTATGGAAGAACATTGGTGAATGTATTGCCAGAAAGTACATGGAGACATATTTTGGTATTCTTGTGTGTTTTGCCCTCATTCTGTCATCTTTGTGCTCACTTAAAGAGCCATATTGTTTTAGTCATGATTTGGTGCTGAAATTAAAATACAGATGGGACTGCACAGCGCTCTGACAGAATCAAGGTTGCCACACAGTTGGTGCAACCAGTCCCCCTGACCACCACCAGCAGGGGAGGTGAAGTGTCTTGCCCATGGACACAATGACTGACACAGATGGGACTTGCATTCGGATCAGCAACCCACTTATTACAGGGTGATCTCCCAACCCCTGAGCCACCTTTGTGATTCACTGGGTTTTCTAGGGTGTAATCGTTATTTTAAAGGTCTCATTCACTGAGAAATGTGTCATACTTGTTATTTTAGTATTCGTGACCTGATCCAAAAAGGCTTTCAACCACAGAAGGTGGTTGTTCTTGTACCAGCCAGAAGAGCGCAGAGCACGCCTCGGCTAGTAGAAGCTAACCATTAGCTTCAGCTCTACAACATGGTGGAAGACGTTCAGACTTATTTGTTTGGATAAAACATCAACGATGCATTTTCACCCAAGAAAATATGTTTTACAGTATTCTGAGTATTGTTAACATAGGCAGTGGAAGAGTTGTGCAACTGTCAGGCAGTCAGAGGCGATACATTTGCATATCATGAATATTAATTAGTAACCCCCTCACTCCTGCAAAACTGTCAACCTCTTGAAATACGAGCTCAAGAGCTTTTATTCCACCGAAAAATGACTTGCAAGGCATTCATTCATACTAGAGACCACAGCAAATTTATTGAAAAAAAATGTGAGTAAGACATTTAGTTCTAATTTTAGGAGTAATGACTGTGGCCACAACACTAACTCAAGTAAAGGCCGTTGTTTTGAATTGGTGATTGTGCTCACGGTTTTGTAAAAGACAATGAAAAACTGGATGTGGATACTAAAGTTGTGGTGAAGAATACCATTTCATATCATTTTAACGCTAACAACGCAGACAGAGGCCGGAACAACGCCGACATAGGCTGCAACACAACTAAACCTACAACTGAAGTTAATAAAAGAAAATAAAATGAAATTGAGACTTTAATCAACTAGAATTTACGCTGAAACTGAATTTATGTTAATAATTTAATTAGGGCAAAACATAAATAAATGAGAGATACCAGTATTCAGGCTCATGGGGCTTTACCACAGTGTTGGCTTGCTGTGGTGTTGTCATACACATTTAAAGTGAGTGTCTGCAACCTTTTAACTTGGTTTAAGTCATTTATTATCATGGTGATTCACCACCAAGCTGTTCAGTGTTTATTCCCTCTACAAACTGGGTCTGACCTGCCAGTATTCCTCAGGTTATTGTCTGGTTTGAACAGACATTTTCTAATAGAAAACATTTTGTTTTGAAGTTCATATGAGTGGGAGTTTCAGTTTTGGTAGTGTTTAAACAAAGAGAGCCTGTAAGCAGCAGCAGCAACAACATTTGGCTCTGTGAAGGTCAGTGTGACTATGCTCAAGTTCTTTTGCAGCCTGAAATTTGTGCTCCGAGTGTGTGCTGAATGTGAATGCATCCACATACTGTTCCACAAGACTGCGGCAGGCGTAGTCTTTTCTGTCACTTTATACTTTTCTTATCTTGTGAATAAAATGTGTGTCTTAAAGTGCCAGGATCATCAACTGCAGTCGATTTTAGAAACAAATCTTGAATGAAATTATATACAAGTCTGCGTTAAAATGTACCTGATGCCTGATGCTTGCAAGACTTGTAATTTAAAAGAACATCTAGGTTTTTTTTTTTGCCAAACTGCTTCTGTTGCTAAACTAGAGCCAGCCAGCGTCAGAGTGCTGCATAAAGCTGCTTCCAGTTGCTTTTTAGCTGATATCATATACACAGTTTTAAAAAGTATCCATGTTTATAGATCACACAGGAGTAGTTCTGATTCCTATGCAGGTAAAACTCTAAAAATTAGAATACGGTGCAAAGGTTCACTTATTTCAGTAGTTAAGGTGAAACTAATATATGAGAGACTCATTATAAGCAAATCAAGATATTTCAAGTTTTTAGTTGTTGTGATGATTATGGCTTACAGCTGATCAAAACCCCACATTCAAACTCTGACAGATTATTGTGAAAATTTTCAATATTCTACACTCAAAGTGTCACACTCTAATCAGCTGATTCATTCAGTACACCTGCAAAGAGTTCTTGAGCCTTTAAATCACAGGTGTAAAACAAATATGGCCTGTGAGATCAAATGTATATTAAAAATGCCCTGCCAGCTGATTTTGCCACAAAGAATACAAATCCCATAGTATTTTGGTGCGTTAGTGCATCAGTTAAAGCGCTACCTCCTTTCTGTTTACAGTCATTAGCTTACATGCTACTAGTATCAGGTTCAGCAGCGTTACCCTTCTCAGTCTCGAACAAACTGAAAACACTCCTCTAACTCAGCAATTTGCAGACCTTGAAGCCCAGAAATAGATTTCAGCCACTCAGTTTGTGGCTGACAGAGAGAATGCACCAACCAACTTCCAAACGGAGCTGATTTAACTCCAGTTTAGCAACACACTCCAGTCAGAGTATGACTCTGTGGTTGCTGCAGTTTTATCTTTGCTGTCTGACTCACTGACCCAACTGCGTGGTCAAGCTTCTCGATTGCTCTCCGTGTTCAGCAGCACATACAGTGTTGCCAACTTAGCGACTTTGTCGCCATTTCTAAGGACTTTTCAGACCCCCTTAACGGCTTTTTTTCAAAAAAGCACCTAGCGATAAATCTGGCGATATTTCTGACCCCCCTCAGCTACTTTGACTACAACTTTGTAGCCAACTTTACCTGCAGATTAGCGATGCATCTGAAGGGACAGGACCGTCCTTCCTTCCAGAGGATCAGACAGAAAATGATCTGCGCATGTGCATGCAGCATGATCACGCTACCCCCACTGACCAATCAAACCTTTTGTGGGTTTTCACAAGTCCATTATTTGAGATAGCCACTGGAGCTACATAAAGGGCGACCGCTCCTTCCGCCATCATGCCGCATTTCGGCAGCTGAGCTCGGCTGGCTCTGGCAGGCAGCATCACACTCACACATGGTTTCTCGCACCACTTGTGGTGCATTCAGGGAACATTGGAACTCTATGATGAGTTCAATAATGTAGCACATTTAAAACTTTTATTAAAAAAAACAGAATAATACTGTAAGACAAACACACAATTGGCAGTTTGCATGTAACGTTTCTGAATACTAAATACAGCCTGCTTCTTTTTACACAAAAGTACTAAAAACAACAAAACCAAACAAAAACAAAATATATATTTATATATATATTATCTTTTAGGTCAATATATAGCACTGAATCACAACAGAAGAATACATCTCAAGGCACTTGAAAACTACAAGACAAAATTCATTTTAATTCAATCATACATGCATTCCTATCAATTTAATATTTTTGTGTTTTAAGAGTTCCATTCTCTTCAGACAAAATAGAAATATTCCTTCCATTTTTTATGCCTTCTTTCTTTGATGTTTTAAAGGCTGCTGTTTTGTATTCTATGGGGTTTTATTTTAATAAAATATAAAAAAATAAATTAAATAATTTTTTTAATAAAATCACCTGGGTTTTATTTGATTTACTCTAAAAGACCGGTGACGTCATGACGCAAACATGGTGACGTCATCACGCAAACCAGATGATGTCATTGCGTCATATGTAAATTAGCATGTGACGTCATCTGGCGACATCTAGTGACTTTTGGGGGGAACTTCAGCTATTTTCAGCCAATAACAGTTGGCAACACTGAGCACATACCTATTTGAGGAGCTGTTGTCTGTGATGAAGATGAACAGAACACGGGAGTCTCACTGATTAGCTCCTTCATCGGCTCACAGCCCAACCCCAGAGATGCAGGTATCTGGCTTGCACAGGTGAGCATCGGATTAAATCAGTGGAACAAACCAAGCTTTAACTATTTTTGGTTTGATGCAATTTTTTACACTCCAAATCTCAAAAGTTAGTAGGGGAAATATTGCATTTTCATTTAAGAGAATTACTGTTTATTGGTTTTTATTGTTGGCCTGTGGGAAAAAAAAATGTTTGCCTACTTTAAAACAGGAACTGCAAAGACTGCAGATAGATGAATAGAATGGAAATAAATGGATTGTTACACCATATTCTAATTTTTCAAGATTCACCAGTGTACAAACACCCGCTGTAGAGTAGTGAAGAGAGCATTCACAAACATGACTGTTGTTTAAAACGGTGTTTATATTTAGACTCATTTTTGCTTGAGTAACAATAAACTCTGATCTATGGAGATTAACTTTATTGCTACATCACAATCCTACAGAAACTCATGCAACAAATGAAACATTTACTGGAAGAGACAAACGATGTGGCTCTGAGTTAGCACCGTGGTTGCGGGAACTCAAACAGGTTCTTTCTTGTCAAAAAACATCTCCAACACCAGCCCTGTTCTAATAATGAACATACTTAGTGGATGAACTCTATGAGACAGTGCGTGTACACGTGGAACCATAAAGTTAACCGTTGCGTATTTGTTCAACAAACTTTATGGGTCTGAAATATGTTGGTGACCGCTCATGTGGCTGGGTACTCAAGCCTCTGTTATGTTGTGCCTTCTCTCATTCTGTTCATTCAGAGTCCCACTGAGCTTCAAAGTTGATAATCCTTCGCTTTTTGCCTGTTTGTGTGTGTACACAATTGAGCGCCGGCATGCGTCTGTGTGTTTTTGTGTTGCTTCTATTCAGACCCCCTTCTCTCTTCTCAAAATCACATTAATCCCTCAGGCCTAGAGGGAAAAAAGGAAGCCTGTGCACTGTTCACCATAATACAGGTCCTTCTCAAAAAATGTGCATATTGTGATAAAGTTCATTATTGTATGCAATGTACTGATAAACATTAGACTTTCATATATATTAGATTCATTACACACAACTGAAGTAGTTCAAGCCTTTTATTGTTTCTAGTATTGATGATATTGGCATTCATGAAAACCCTAAATTCCTATCTCAAAAAATTAACATATTTAATCCGACCAATAAAAGAAAAGTGTTTTTAATACAAAAAAAAAGGTCAACCTTCAAATAATTATGTTCATTTATGCACTCAATACTTGGTCGGAAATCCTTTTGCAGAAATGACTGCTTCAGTGCGGCGTGGCATGGAGGCAATCAGCCTGTGAAACTGCTGAGGTGTTATGGAGGCCCAGGATGCTTCGATAGCAGCCTTAAGCTCATCCAGAGTGTTGGGTCTTGCGTCTCTCAATGTTCTCTTAACAATATTTCACAGATTCTCTATGGGGTTCAGGTCAGGAGAGTTGGCAGGCCAATTAAGCACAGTAATACCATGGTCAGTAAACCATTTACCAGTGGTTTTGGCACTGTGAGCAGGTGCCAGGTTGTGCTGAAAAATGAAATCTTCATCTCCATAAACCTTTTCAGCAGATGGAAGCATGAAGTGCTCCAAAATCTCCTGATAGCTAGCTGCATTGATCCTGCCCTTGATAAAACACAGTGGACCAACACCAGCAGCTGACATGGCACCCCAGACCATCACTGACTGTGGGTACTTGACACTGGACTTCAAGCATTTTGGCATTTCCCTCTGCCCAGTCTTCCTCCAGACTCTGGCACCTTGATTTCTGAATTACATGCAAAATTTGCTTTCATCAGAAAAAAGTATTTTGGACCACTGAGCAACAGTCCAGTGCTGCTTCTCTGTAGCCCAGGTCAGGCGCTTCTGCCGCTGTTTCTGGTTCAAAAGTGGCTTGACCTGGGGAATGCGGCACCTGTAGCCCATTTCCTGCACACGCCTGTACACAGTGGCTCTGGATGTTTCTACTCCAGACTCAGTCCACTGCTTCCGCAGTTCCCCCAAGGTCTGGAACCGGTCCTCCACAATCTTCCTCAGGGTCCGGTCACCTCTTCTCGTTGTGCAGCGTTTTCTGCCACACATTTTCCTTCCCACAGACTTCCCCCTGAGGAGCCTTGATACAGCACTCTGGGAACAGCCTATTCGTTCAGAAAATTTTTTCTGTGTCTTACCCTCTTGCTTGAGGGTGTCAATGATGGCCTTCTGGACAGCAGTCAGGTCGGCAGTCTTACCCATGATTGCGGTTTTGAGTAATGAACCAGGCTGGGAGTTTTTAAAAGCATCAGGAATCTCTTGCAGGTGTTTAGAGTTAATTAGTTGATTCAGATGATTAGGTTAATAGCTCATTTAGAGAACCTTTTCATGATATGCTAATTTTTTGAGATAGGAATTTTGGATTTTCGTGAGCTGTATGCCAAAATCATCAATATTAGAAACTATAAAAGGCTTGAACTACTTCAGTTAAGTGTAATGAATCTAAAATTTATGAAAGTCTAATGTTTATCAGTGCATTACAGAAAAAATTAACTGTATCACAATATGCTAATTTTTGAGTAGGACCTGTATTCCTTGAGTTAAAGAGGCTGCAGTTGGTGTGCTTTACTGCAGATTCACGTATTTTGGGGTCAGCTTTCCTAGTAAGATGTACAGAAGCACTGCTTGCTCATGCATTTAATCCGTTACCACGCTTTTGATCTCACACTGAGTGGAAACTGTCGCTCTTGACACATTGTTCATGTTAGTGTAGTTTCAGATGCTTTGCGGCACTCCCCAGATGATGGAGACGTCCGTGTTGAGATTTATTGCTGCTTAACAAAATGATCATCAGATGTTTGATGAAGAGGCAAACGTCAGAGGAGAACCGTTCTACTCTCGCTCAACTCTTCCCTAACTTATGTTTCTGCTTAGATTGGCTGTTGTTCATCTTCAGTCACACCATCACCGTCTGCAGCAGTTACCAGAAACTATATTCAGGATTTACAGTAAATGATTCAACTGTGATCCAACCATGCTGCTTTTAGGTCGTTTCCTTAACTTTGTGGCTTCAAGAGACAGTTTTAGAGTTACAAGTGTTATTATGTTTATTTCTTGTTTATTCTCTTTTAAAAGAGTTACAATAATTTAATTCAACATAAACAGTCTTAATTGCTAATTGTTAAGTAGTGCGCCTAACAATCAAGTGAATTTTTTTCTGTTTCTTGGCTCAGGAATGTAACGAGGAAAGTCGTGTAAGAACCTGTGTTGTTTAGAAAAATTTTGCACCTAAGCTGAAGCTGATATAAAGTTCTTAAAACACATTGGTGAACCAGTTAATGGAATAAGTAAAATATGTATACCCATAATTTATTTATTTTTTTGAATACTTCCAGCTATCCAGAGAACGGTGTGGTTGAGATGAAATTGGTAGATGTAAGACCACGTGCCAGGACCGTGCTGCGATGGGACCAGCTCCAGGTGGGTATGCGTGTGATGGTTAACTACAACATGGAGACACCAGATGAGAGGGGCTTCTGGTACGATGCAGAGATTGTGACCCTAAATCAAACTTCTCGCACCAACAAGGAGCTCCGAGTCAATATCCTGCTAGGGTGAGGATTTTGCCTCCTGAGATGAATAGATTTGATAATGGATGTAAATTAGTTCTTCCCCCTCTCCTTAAGTCCACATTGTTGTGCTTTCGTTTATCTGCCTTGACTGGTATGTTTCCCCCTAGGGGTCCTGGAGATGTAATCGGAGATTGTAAAGTTCAATTTTTAGATGAAATCTATCAGATGGAGACAGCAGGGGCTCATCCGCTCTCGAGTGCTGATGGACAGTTTAAACGTACGGATTAGATCTCACACCTATAACACACTGTTGTGGAGATACGTGCATCACCTTTTCTGTTAATTAATGCGTATCTCGTGTATTTGTGGCTCCAGGGAAGAGTGGGCCAGAGTGCAAACACTGCAAGGCCGACCCAGACTCGGAGTGTCGATTCTGCTCCTGCTGTGTGTGCGGCGGGAAGCAGGACGCTCACATGCAGCTGCTGTGTGATGAGTGCAACATGGCATTCCACATCTACTGCCTCAACCCGCCGCTGGCCACCATCCCAGATGACGAGGACTGGTGAGAGAGAGCTTTCAGCTCAATGATCAGCCACAGAATCTTCTAAACAAGACAGTGTTAGCTGTGCATTTATGCAGCAAGTTAGAGGTGATTTAGGTTCAAATCGTTGTGAAATGATGACTTAATGTTCAAGTGAAAGTTTAAAGTAGTGGATTTAAATTAATTAATTATTTTCCTGCAAAGCAGAACCTGGGTTGTAGAAATAAAGAGGTTCTTCACTGGGGGGGAGACGACTTCGGACGGCAGGATTTGGACTCTTATTTCATGAAATTTAGACATCTCGTCTCTGATTGGCTAACAGCAACGCAACTCTACCACTAGATTCTTTTATAAAACAATGCCGCCAATTTGCCGTAATGCTGAGCTGGCATCCGAGAGCTTTAGACCGGATAAGTGGTTAGACCGTGGCCGTATAAAGGGGGCATGGGGGTGGTCTCTGTGCTGCCATGGACCTCCATTTAACTTGGGCATAACTTGCTTTTTATTGCAATCGAAGCCACGCTCACCAAGTTGTTTTGACAAGGCGTTCCTTAAGGTGTCTGTCCTCCACAGTCCATCTGCAGTCTCTGGTGATCTGAGCTCCAGCTCTAACAGAGAGAAGCTCCCGTAGCTCTGTATCGCTCCACTTTATCCTCTCAGCTTGTTCTTACTGCTTACTGCCCTGTCATTTTCAATATTGTAGCTGGCTGGAGCTCAGCAGTAACTTCCCACGTGACCATGATGCCACCTTTTGTTGCACCAAGGCGCAATATGAATTCACAAGTCCGGCGTTGCGGTAATATTACCACCAAGCTTGGCGGAGCAAATGCCTCAAAATTCCTGCATCGCCATGGTGCCACGGCACGTTCGTCAGATTAGCTGGCACGGCGTGTCTTCTAAAAAGGGCCACTGACTCCATTTGCTTTGCAGCGTTGATGTTTTATCTCCACAAATTACTCAAGCCTGAAAGAGTTCTGCTGTGTGGTGGAGTAGCTAATGCTAACAGTTAGCTTCTACTAGCCGAGCTGCTGATTCCTAGACGCTAAACCAACAAAAGCCTTCCTCAGCGTGAGGCAAGATGGGTGAGTCTTGAATGTTAAGTGAAAGTGTGATGTAGATCTGTCACGATTTTCAAATCCAAGAGTTTCACCGTCTGTTTTCTATCAGAAGTTAATGCAGGAGATGGGTGTAGGAGTTCACGTTCAAGAGTCACTGATCATTTTCAAAAAAGTAAACAATGGTTTCTCAGTGAAGTACCTCTTTAGGAAAGGTATAAGACTCATGGGGATGAAAATCATCTCCATTATTCACTATCTTGCTTCTTGTTGCAACTTAAACAGCATTATTTTTAGTTTTTCTTTTTTCAGTAATTCACAACCTTTTGATATTTTAGAGATTAAACAGGAGAAAATCTTGAGGCCTGTGTCTTTTTATTTTCAAATAAATCATTAAAAAAAAGACTATTAATGACTTTTTATCGACTGCAGTTAATAAATTATATTAAAAGCGGATGACACGGAAGTTCTCGCCTTATATAGTTTCAGATGAAACAAAGTTCAGGTTTTGTGTACATTGTTGAGGGTTTCAGTGTTCTTTAATGCTTTATTTCTTACGCAAATCAAGTTAATAAATAACAGAAACATTATCACTTGAATTTTAAAGTTTCCTTCAATTCTTCTGCTTTAAAAAAACTTTCCATGAATCATTCCCCACTTAACTAGTTGAACAGATAAGATCATAAAAATGTCACAGCATCTTAATGTTCGATTACTCATTAGCTCACAGCATTAGTAGTTTTTCTTCTAAGCAACTTTCCATTAAACAAATCTTTTCCTCCATGTCTCATTGATGTCACATCTCTGCCAGAAAAAAAACACAACGTCAGATTGTAATTTAGGTTTTACCCGACTCATAATACTCCAAAGCTTTCAGATCTCAAAAGCGCAGAGTATAAAATTGATCTGTTGTTGCTCTGCCAGGTACTGTCCGACCTGTAAAAATGACACCAGTGAAGTTGTGAAGGCTGGCGAGAAGCTCAAAGCCAGCAAGAAGAAAGCCAAAATGCCTTCAGCTACAACGGAGAGTCAAAGGGACTGGGGAAAGGTGAGACAGCTCTCAGGGTTACCAGGAACAAACCACAGCCGAGTGGGAGATCTTGCCCAGTGTTAACATTTCTCAGTAAAGGTAGAAAAATGAAAGGAAACCATCTGCATGATGTAGCTTTAATCCAGTTGTCTGGTCATAGCTTTAAGAAACCGTGTGTCTCTCTTCCACGGTGGATATGCCGTTTCCTTGACGCTCTTCTCCGTGGGGTAACGTGAACATTGCCATTAGCCATGACTTAGCCACTTTCCTGGAATGGCTGATGGAAAATAAGTCCTTTCTTTACCAGAATGCTCCCTCTCTCTGTGAACTAATTGAAAACAGGCTGACTCGCGTGCTTGGGTACATTTTAATGGCTCTGAGTCACACAGCGTTCACTTAAATATCTTTAACCCTTACAATAAGATGTTTGTGTGGGGTCTGGTATTGTTGCCTAAAAAATAGAATGTTGTTTTCTGTTCTCTGCTTATTTGCTGCCATTGGGTTTGTTGTTCTGTAAACACAGATCAGTTTTCACCTATGCACACATGACTGCCAGGTCATGCTTCATGTTCCCCTGAAGCGTGGTGCTGCAGCCTTGGTCCAGCCTCTAATAGACTGTATGTCGGAGGTTAAAGCTTGGGTGGCTCTAAACTTCTTGAGTACCAATGATGACAAAACTGAGGTTATTCTCTTCAGCTCTATAGTGAGACGCGACACTGCTAGCAGCTAGACGCATTAGCATCCATGCGTTTATAAACTCACGCCTGGATTGCTGTAGTTCCCCGCTTGTTGGGATAAGCCAGATCTCCATCTCTAGACTGCAGATGGTCCAGAACTCCTCAGCTAGATTTGTAACCGGTACTAAGAGGAGAGAGAGCACGTCATCCCGGTCTTGGCTAACCGGTTAGGTACGGAGTCAATTTTAAAGTTCTTTTATTTGTTTTTAAAGCGTTGCATGGAGGGGACCGTGCTTTTTCGGTTTCAGGTCCGAGGCTGTAGAATGTTCTGCCATTGAAAATCGGAAAGGCTCCCTAAGTAGGGATTTTGCTGTTTAATAGTATTATTGTGGTAAAAAGGTGTTTTCTTTCCTTTTTGTGTACAGGGTATGGCTTGTGTGGGACGCACTAAAGAGTGCACGATTGTTCCCTCAAACCACTATGGACCTGTTCCTGGCGTTCCTGTTGGAACTACCTGGAAATTCAGAGTACAGGTTAGTGGTAGATACTTGGCTGTAATTTAGGCATTTTATTTACACGACCAGAATAAATGAAAAAAAAATACAGATTAGAGCAAGAACGAAACGTTTTTCAGTCCCCATTTAAATTTATTACCTTAGCTATAAAAGCTAATTGGATAACCGGCATGTTTAAAATCGCCTGATGGTCCAACAAACACAAAATCCCAGTTAGAAGCATAAGGCATGGAGCACCAGAGGTTTTAGTCCTCTGCAAAGAGCCAAATCTGTCATGTGGTTGTATTTTAGTATAATTAACGATTTTATAAACAAGCAGAAGAGCAGCCCCCTGGTGGCTGGCTATTGAGAAGTTTTAACCCCGCCCCTTTTGTGGTAAAGAATTGGACATTTTCCTAAATAATAAAAATGAGTCCTTAGATAATCTTATGAGTTTTTAGCATGATGAAACGGACTGTTACAAAGCTTTTGGTTAAAAAAATAAGTCTTCAGTGCAATTTTTATTTTCCCAACTTTGTCAAATACAGCAGAAGCTAAATTTCCTTCAAAATAAGAGCATCAGCATATACACTACATGTATTAATGTTGAAAAAGCATTTTTAACCCATTGTAAAAATACAAGGACAATGAAAAAATACATTATACAAACTTTGTATAATTCAATCTCTACAGTGCGAAAATAAGTGTTCAAATAAAACCTGCATTATAGTTAAAATCATCAGCATTTGTAGACATGTGGCTTAAACCTGAGAAAGAAACAACTTGTTACTGCTAAAAACTAGTGGTATAAAAATAAAAATGTGTGTATCTTTACTTTTATACGTAGACAGAAGCTACAGCATTTTTACAGTACATTACTAAAGTAGTCAAACCCATGCTTGCTTTCAAAAGAACGCAGATCGTTTTATTTTTTCCTCGTATGCTTGTTCTCTGTCCTATCACCTCCTCAGGTGAGCGAGGCAGGTGTCCACAGGCCACACGTCGGCGGCATCCACGGCCGCAGCAACGATGGCTCCTATTCGCTGGTGCTGGCTGGCGGCTTCGAGGACGAAGTGGTGGGTTTCACTCTGGCATGTGAAGCAGACTGATGTATCGTTATTGGCTATGTTTTGAAAAACTGGTATGATAACGCCAATCTCCGGTAGGACCGGGGAGATGAGTTCACCTACACAGGCAGCGGGGGTCGTGACCTCTCGGGAAACAAACGGATCGGAGAGCACTGCTTTGACCAAACGCTGACTCACATGAACAGGTCCAACACTTACCAAAATCCTAATGACAGTAATGAACGTTGATTTAGTGATTCTAATTTTAAGGAGAAAATTATTTTTCATCGTTATACTTGATGATGTATCTTGAATGCTGACTCTTGCAGAGCTTTGGCCCTAAACTGTGATGCACCTCTGAATGACAAAGACGGAGCAGAGTCCAGAAACTGGCGAGCAGGAAAACCAGTCAGAGTGGTGCGCAGCTCTAAAGGTAGACGTATTAGCAAATATGCACCAGAGGAGGGAAACCGCTATGATGGCATTTATAAGGTACACTCAGAGGTTCTCCATCAAAGAAAAATTAATGTCAAAGCTGGTTCAAAACTCACGTGCATCTTGAGTATAAAATATTTCACCATTGTGTTTTGTGGTGGTTTGCAGGTGGTCAAATACTGGCCAGAGATTGGGAAGTGTGGTTATTTAGTGTGGAGGTACCTGCTGAGACGGGATGATCTGGAACCGGCACCGTGGACCCCTGAAGGTCTGGAGAGGATAAAGAAACTGGGCCTTTCTGTTCAGGTTAGACTGCCGTTTGAGATGGAGTGGTTGTTATCCACACCAGTGAACCTTTTGTTTCTTTTTACTACTACTACACTCTAAAATCCATTTTTCTGCAGTACCCGCCTGGCTATTTGGCTGCTATGTCCAACAAATCAAAGAAGGAGCCGTGCGCTAGACCTGGCTATGGCGGTCGCAATAAGCATTATCCCGGAAGGGGAAGGTCCCGGAGACGCAAGGCCAAAGTGAAAGAGGAGAATGAAGTGGATGGAGAGGAGGAAGACGAGGAGGTGGAGGAGGATGGGGAGGATGAGCTTCTACACACCAAGATGCCAGAGGATGTACTTCAACGTAATGGAGAGCAGAAGACAGCTGCAGATAATGGTGGGTGCTTTTACACACAATGCTCAGAGCAGATCAGACAAGGTGTTGTGAGAAGAGGACAGGTGAGGACAGCCGGATCAGTGAAACCATTTAAAGACGGCTTTAAACATCTCAAAAACATCACATTTAGAATGTTTTAGTTATTATTACTTTAGCCAAAAAAAATTAGCTGTTAGTTTTTAAGTCATATTTTGTGTTTTAATCAGAAGTGCCACCAGCGACGGAGCCTCCATCCAAACGCGTGAAGATAGAGGAGACGTTCCAGCTGTCGGAGCAGCAGCAGCAGCTGATTCAAGATGACACAGCCAACAAGAAGCTGTGGGATGAAGCCATGGAGAACCTTAAAGAGGGGCCGGTAGGAATCCGAACACATTTATTAGACACTGACAACTTCTTGATTGTCGCACCAGAGTGAGGTAGTCTCCTTCATTTCTCTATTATTTATTTATTTATTTTAGAACATCGCTGATTGAAACAAAGCTCTAAAAACAGCTAGAACACAAACCGGACTAATTCATTATTTTTTGTTTTGCCCTCCTCCTGTGATGTGTTCTTGTAAAAGAATTTCCTGCAGAAGATGGAGCAGATCTTCATGTGTGTGTGCTGCCAAGAGCTGGTCTTTCAGCCCATCACCACTGTCTGCTCGCACAATGTCTGCAAGGTACAAACGTTTAGCACAGTGCTGTAAAAAAGTATTTATCCCCTTGTTACACTGTAAAAAAGTAAGAAAATCTTACGTGTTTTAGACGAGCAAACAAATTTAAACGTCAGCTGCAACCTGAGTTAACAAAAAGGGCAATTTGCTAATTTGTATTTTATTTGGTAATTCTAAAAGCTACCCTGGCCTGCCTGGCCCTGTGGGTGTGTGTGTGTGGGGGTGGGGGGTGGGGGGGGGGGGGGGGGGGGAGATCATATCATGAATTAATTAAGATTAACCAAAATATTTGCAACACTGGATTAAATTTTAGAAACCAGACTATACAATAGTTAAAAATCACTTCAACAAAACCTGTCTGACAACCTGAAGTAGGCTAGGGGTGTGCATTAGCAAGAATCTGGCGATACAATATTTATCATAATACCAGACAAAACGATATTTGCTATTTTTAAGACTTTAATTGGAAAACTCGGAACGGATGCTTCCAAGACACAATTGGTGTTATGGGAGATTTCATTTAATCAGAATGAAGATGGTAAAAAAGTGCTGCCACCTAGCAGTCGGAGTTTGAATTGCATCTCACAAAAGAAATACAATAAATGTTGGCACGTAAATTTGCAATAGAAAATTAATACACTGCTTTTAAATATATTGATTCAGTGTTACGACTCATATTTCAGTGTAATGATAATTCCTTACCAGAAATAGGCCTAAATATGTCAAAAAGCAAAGACCATAAGGCTGTCACACGACTACTCGGTGTGGGACAAGCTTGGAGGAAGTTGGTGTTGCTGAACAAGCCTAAATTCTTCTAAATCCAGATCTGTGATGAGCACAAACTGCTGCTCACACTTTCATGTACCCCTCCTTAATCAGTTGATGTAATGGTGAGTTCAGTTTTTCCTCGGAGAACCCTACTTCCGAGTAGGAAAAATGAAACTCCCCCTAAAGTCGGACCTGCCAATCGGAAACTTGGAAGAATTTCAGAACTCCGACCTCGACATCCAAAATGGCAGCTCTCCGTATTAGCAACAGTAAGTTTTGGGTGAATTATGTTTATTTAACAAGACAAGCAATGGCTACTTGGGTGGTGTGCATCGCCATATTGGAGTCCTGACTTCTCCGACTACGGTAACCAGAATGCGGTAAACTCGAGTGTGAAGTCATTCTCAGTTCCGACATCCGAGGTAAATCGAACGCACCATAACTCCCAGACTTTTCCCTGACAAGATCATACTCCTTCCTAGTTAGACGTAAACCCATTTTTGGTCTCCCAACAATCGGCACCAAGCCGAGTTGGTCGGTTTGTTATCTTGCTGGATGTGTAAAGAGCGTAAGGGGACTGATACTTTTCAGCAGCACATGGGTGGATGGTCTTTGCCCTTGAACAAAAACCTGTCTCTGTAAAATTGACGTGGCTTCTCCTATCCTCAGACTTGTCTCCAGCGCTCGTTCCGTGCACAGGTGTACACCTGCCCCGCCTGCCGCCACGACTTGGGCAAAGACTATGTCATGAACCAAAACAAGACGCTCCAGATTCTACTCGACCAGTTCTTTCCTGGCTACAGCAAGGGACGATGAGGTCCAAGTGGCAGTTATTCCTAGGGTCCACGCACACAAGCGTCCGTTCTGTGCACCCTCGTATATGGTCAAGTACCTTAGAGCTCCACCTTAAAACACATTGCACTCACATGTACTCACCCATGAGTAGTTGTAAATCGCATATACAGCCATTAATGTATACAATCAATCACACACAAACCACCTCAGTAGGGACTGACCTCATCTGCTGGAACTTGGACCGTCTCCATCAACATCACTTGCCTGAAATTCCAATTAACGACTTTTCCTCCCCCTCTGACCTGTTCCAGCCGCCCAAGTGGGCACAAAAGAAACGCACAAATAAAAGAATCACCAACTCATATTGTCACCAATCATCTCAAAGCAATTGCTCGTTGTTTTAGTTCTGCATTAACCAGATTACTTTTGTTACTTTCAAATGTTTTTTTCCCCCCATAAAACACCTGCCAACCTGCTTGCATTTAGTGTACCATGTATATGCAGATGATCTGAGTGTTAGTTGCTCATCAAGTTAGAGATTCAAATGTGGGAAGTTGAGAGCTAAACAAGGCCAGTCAGGAGCATTCGTCTGCAACCTGTTAGGTGCTCTTGTCACTTGGAATATTGCCATTTCTTTGCCTTGAGCTAACGGGAAAAAACAAAAGCCTAACCTGGGGTCAATTTCTGTTTATTGGCAGCTGAGTCTAGTTTGTTTGCAGCAATGCAAATCTCAGAAGTACTTAAATGAACATTTAAGAAGGCATAAGAAGAGAATTTTGTGACGATTTCTGGTTCTGCGTTATGGCTGTCCATCTTTTGGACGATAGGAGCGTGTGTTCTCGCGTTAGAAGAATTTCTCAGACGAAATGAAAAAGGTCAGGATTCACCTGCAATGTGCATCGGGTGAGCTGCCTGTGTGTCTTTCCTATGACATTTCAAAAGGCAGAGTGTGGTTGTCCCTGGTGTTTCCAAGCAACCACCATGCATGGACGGTTAGCTAATAAAGTGCTCCGCAAACCTTCATCTGCTCTTGTTCTACTTGTAAATGTTCACTGGTGAGCTTGATGTCTGTCTTCATGCTAGGAAAGCAAATCCACTGATCGTTTTGAATCCTGAGAATGGAGATGAATGGGTCTTTCTCAGCTATCAAACATTTGATAATGGATGCGTTATAGAGCCTAAATGACGTCTACATAGATATAAAGCCCAATGTTGACACAAACAGAAGTAAAAACTGCTCCTGATGTTCCTGAAAAAAATCTTTTTAGCAGTTCTGGATTTTCAGTATTTTTTAATATCCGTGTAAGACACACTAGCATAAACAGACCAAAGGCACAAGAGGGGCAGCTGGAAGGCAAATCCAGTGTTTACATCCTGATAACGTCTTTGACTAGATCCCCCAAAATAAAACTGTAAATGGGCAAAAAAAACCCGACTCCGCTAAGATTTATTGTAGCTCCCTAAAAGCATGATATGGTTTATTCATGTTACCATGTGCATGCTAACATTATGTCCACTTTCCTGGTGTATTTCTACAGATATTTTATAACTAAGAATGAAAAAATCTGGGATGAAATAGTGCTCGGTTTCCTGTTGCTTTATAGAAGAAATACACGTTTTGCTTGTAGTAAAGTCTAAGCGAGCAAAAGAAAGTAATCTCAAAAAGAATATTTTTATAAGCATTGCAAAAATCATAATTGTTGATTGTTTCTGACTAGTTTCACGAGAGAAGCGGCGTTGTTTATTTATGTTCTAGAAGAGCAAAACTGTAAAAAGTAAGGATTTAGAGCTTGTTTATTTGAAAAAGGCTGTTTTCTTTTATATTCTCTGTAGTTTTTGTCCAGGTGCCTTTGGTGTCCCTGGCTCAAGATTAAAACTTGTATTGGATGCAGCAAACCATAAAGCCACAAATTCAGTTCAAACAGACAAGAAGACTTCTCTTAAAACCAACGTGTTTTTGGTTAAAAATGAGAATATTTTGTTTATCTTTTTAGTAAATTTTCTGGGCTGTTGTGGAAATTAGACAGGTAAAAGCATTTGTAAAGAAACACGTCACTTATGATCTAACCTACATAAAATTCTCTTTTTATGCTTTTTATTTGTTTAAATGAGCTGTTTTATGGTTTTAAAATGCAATTCTTTTGCTTTCGGATTGAACACCTTTAACACCAGACAGTACTAATGTTATGGTTATGTCAGTTGCCCATAGCTGTCCTGGTTTTTCAAGTATTTCAAAGAATAAAAAACAAATGTGTATACATTTGTTTTTTATTCTTTGAATAGAATTGGCGTGTGAGTGACTGGGCCAGACTTCTACGCACTGTTGTGGTACTGTAAAATGTTCTGGGTTGGCAGGTCTGATCCTTTGGAGAGCAGAGGCTGATGTGGACGGAGGTCGCCTTCAGCGCTGCAGTTCAGAAAGTCGCTCTTGTAAAAAACAGAAATACGTACGTTTATCAGCCTTTGAAGCAGTCCGGTTTGAGTCCAGTGAACTCATCAGCTTCTTCTGTTTCTGTTGACATTCAGACCCCCCTCCATTAATTTCCAGGCTGTTTGTGGTGATGTCCTTGTTTCCGTTCATTCAGGATTTTTGTTTGTTTTGTTTTTAATCAACAACATGCAAGTATCAATGCTACTATGGTGTTTAAAGCTAACTGTGATGTGCATTATTTCCACTGTTTTTTCTTGTTGGTGTTATTTTTGTCCTGCATAGACTGATGAGCTGAGTCCTCTTTACTTCCTCTCTCTGTCGTGACCTTTGCTCCTCTTTCCTCCCTCTTCTGCTCTCCGTGAACCTACAGTACTAACTACTTTTAGACCTATTGTGGGCGCTTGGCTTCAGTGCTGTGTTGTTTTACCTTTTCTGCACTCTACTGAAAAATACATTAGATCTGGTTTAGTTTCCTAGAATGTGTTCTATTATCTTTCGGCGCACCTCTTTTTATGCCTGTTTAGTTGCTAAACTTGTTTTCATCATTATTAGTCATTTTTACCTTGTCAGCCTCAAACACCTGCAGCAGTCTGAGAAGTTTCATTGCTTCATATTGTGATTTGAAATTTTATACATGTCGTAATAATACTTAATATGTACCAATTAAATATTTGGATTCAGTACATGGCTGTTGTGTTTGTCTTGTAATTTACAGATTTCTTTTGGGCAAATGTCACTAAAGAGCTTGTTTATTCTATTGTTTTATTAATTGGACTTTTTTTATTTTGCAGTAAAACCTGCGTTTTCTTGGTTACACTCGGAAGGAAAATGAGTATCAGAGGGACGGTAGGCAGTTTTGGCTTGCCTTAGCGCCCCCTAGTGTCTGTCTGTAGAACCAAAAGCAAAACTTAACTCCTCACTGTGTTTTTTTTAACACCTTAATCTAACACTAAATTATACAAATCAGTTGTGTTCGGAATCTAAAACTTTCAGGAAGCGTGCTCAATTTTTCTAAGTCCCTCAATTTTTGAAGCAGGACCAAAACTGGGGCATCAAGCCCCCTTACATTTAGACTAAAATCTTGTTTGCTTGCAAATATTTAGTTAACTAAAAAGGCCACCTGTCAGCACAAGTCACTGTGTATCTTTATAGTTTGTATATTTTCACTAACAAATTAATTCATAAGGTAATAGTTCAAATTGAGATTTAGTTACGCTAGAACAAAAAAATCTGTTCAAACCATTTAAATTAGAGAATTTATGACAACTTTAACTACGTTTACTAAACTGCTGCCTTTCAAACATCTCCCAAAGTTGTTCATTTTTAAACGAGTATGAATCAGAATCAAGTACAGCGAGTCAGGCTCCAGCTCGTTCTGGTTGGGATTTACAGACATGCAACATGGTGGAGTACACCGGTGACTCCTATGAGGAGCAGATATAATTATAAGGACTCTGGTAATAACTGTAGGAACCAGGTCTAATAACAGGTACAGATTTAGTGGCTTCCTGGTCTGCAGACTGCTACATCTTCTGTCAGCAGGAAGGAACTCCGGAAACCTTTGTCCAGGGTGAGAAGGATTGAGGGGGGGCAGCAGTAGCTCAGGCGGTCTGTGTGCCCCAGGGCAGCTCACCACCACCAGGGTGTGAATAGATGAATGATGCACTGTAGTGTTGAGCTTTGGAGTCCTGACTCAGAAAGGCACTACATAAGTGCAGGTTATATCATTCTGCAGGTTTACCTGCTCCAACACACCTGATTCAATGGTTGCCTCACCTGTTTAGCAGGTCACCAACTCTGCAGAAGCTAGTTAAAACCATAGACTGCACATACAGTCTATGGTTTTATATGCATATGGTTAAAACTGAAGTCGGGTGCGTTGGAGCAGACCACCCTCTACATCTGGGGTCAAGGTGCCCTCATGCCTTTTCTCTAAATCGCACAAGTCTACGATGAAAAGAAAAATGTGCCATCTTTTTAATCAAATGCATCAGTATAGACAAAAACATTAAAATTATTATACACGAAGTTTAGTTTACCTCTGATCTATTCAAGTTCAAAGGTCAGTATTGTCAACCTAGTAGCCATGAAGTAGCTAGCTACGCGGGTTGGTGACCTGCTTTACATGCAGGACGGTGGCTCCGGAGGACCAGGATAGACTACATGCGCATACTGCACTTTTGAAGCCACTTGGTGGTGGAGAAATATAACTGCATCTACATTGTTTAGGTTTCCATGATTCATTATAACATAAGTGGCAAAAGTGAATGACACAAAATGAGTTTTTGTTTTTATTATCACAGAAGCACAACAGGTACCACCACTATGCAGGTGAACAGCATATTCATAAAAATAAAAGGTGTAAAGGAATGCTAATTCAAATCACATCACCACAGCTTTTATTTCAACCTCAAAATCAAAATTCTACAAAATTGTCAGATACAAATGGCAGAAAGAAGCAAAAAGCACTTTGGATTATTCACTTTTCCTCTCTTAGTACCACTACATCTTTTACTTGAAACAGAACCACCTACATCAAACACAGGAGCATTCGCTCTTTCACTCGTCCTAGCAGAAAGTGTTTCTCTACAGCTAGAAAGTACCAGGTATTGGGGTTGCTGATCCAAATGTAACATTACTAGTACAGGAATACAATGTGACCAAAAAGAGAAAAACCAGTCTTACTGATGTAATCCAGTCCAAAAAGAAGGTATTTAAGGAATTTAAACAGCACTGTTGAGCCAATTTTAAAAAGAAAAGCTGAGATTACTCAAGTGTAAACCTGATGGCTTTTCTCTTTAATGAACATTCAAGTAAAGAAAAATCCTTCACTTTAAACTTGATGGAAGGAGAAATAAATCTGACTTAATAAAACAAGAAAAATAATGAATACTAAGAACTGCAAGAAAATCCCTCCTTTTCAGGTGACATCACATAATCTTCAGTGAGAACAATTGAATGTTACACAAACATAAATGCAGACGCAGAACATCATATCCCCTTCAACAGAAAGTATGGAGTAGCGAGCGCTTGTATACAGAAAGCTGTAACCCGGGTTTCAGACAGCTGTTTATGTAAGGGGAGGGAAAAAAACACAACAGGAGGAATAAAACTACCAACTGGAGGAGAAGTTGTCAGGAGGGTTCACTCATCGTCCGAGGAGTCCCTGTCAAAATTATAGGCCATGAAAAAGACATCGGGTCGAGGTGGGACGAGGGCATGGCCCGGTTTCACAATCTCAAAGCCCAGGAAACTGAAGGTGCGCACCAGTTTAGCTGGAAAAACGAACGAGACAATGATTTAATACAACAGCTGCAAAATGATTATTAATATATCTGACCTCCAGGCTGTTGGCACTAACCACGATCATCTCTGTTCTTGTAAAAGCAGACAAACACACTAACGACTTTCAGATGTTCTTCAGCATACTCCAGGAGAGCTGTGAAACTGGGGAGAGGAATACAAAGACGCGAGGGTCAGCTAAACAGCAGAAGAGATAAGGAGTGGCGGTTTTAACCTTGAGTTCACTCTGAGATTCTCAGAAGTTTAAACAAGGCGGCCGCCAGGATCACATGTTTATGGCCATCATAACCAGCTATTCTCTGTTCAAAGCTTCAAAGTCCAAAAGGCCTGGCCTTACCTCTCCTTGCTGCCTTCAGGAAGAGGGTCGCGAGGTATCTCCACATAGAGTGCACTGCTGCCTAAGACAGCATCCCACTGTATTGTCTTTGTAACTGTGGGACGACTTAGGAAGTGGAGTATCCCAGGACGTCCATTCCCTGCAGGCTCTTCGGTTACTGTCAGTCTTCGGTCCTGAAATATGCATGAAAGCATATTAGAACAGCAGGAAGCACACACACACACACACACACACACACCATTTTATTGACTTACTGTATAGAGCGGCCGAGCTGAAAAAGTGTGATCCCGTGTGCCATTCCCTCGCCCACCTGGGATCTTCAGGGGTGGGAGAGGGACATCAGGAGCACCACAGAGGCCCCGGACCGCGGGTACTACTACTGTGCAGGGACAGGCTGAAAAATATCAAAGACAGAGGGACAACTGTGATTCCCAAATATATTTTCCAACAGGACATCCAAACAATCTAGAATATGTGGCAAGAACAAAAACTCCAAAAATGGTTCTCAAAAGTTGTTATAATACCAAATCTAGCAATTAGACAAATATTTACAGATGAAACACAAGCATTTCCTTGAACCGAATTAAAACCACACTATACTTCTTAAGTAAATAATTAAATTCACCTGCTTTTTAAAAATCCAAATGTAAAAGGTAAATTTTAAGTAAAAACTCAATTACCTTCAGAGGTTAAAAGTTCCTTCTTAAACTGAATCATTCCCTTGCCAATATTGCCAAAAAAATATAAGCATATTTAATATATTTTTAAATTATTTTGTCAAAAGAGTGACAGATTATACTCCAACATAAGATGAAAACGCATTTATTGGCCACTTTTATTCTCAAACTTACGCCTAATCAATCCTAAAACATTGCTCAGGCATCCATGATGTTTTTATTTTCTTAAACAGTAATCAATCTCATAATTTCATTACGAGTCTTAATTGGATTACTACTTTAAAAATCTGTGGCGCAGGTGCGACTTAACGTGCGTAACTGCGTGAGTCAGAGACGTCGTCCTGCCGTAAAGACTCCTCCAGCTGTAAAACGATAGTTGCGTAATAATTGACCAGATGGGGTCAAGGAGGGTGACGCCTGATCGCCTGTGCTGACATGGCGTAACCTTTCCTTTCTCCTGACTTTTAGCCTGAAACACACAATGTTAGCCTACTTTTACTGAGCAGAGCGCGACTGCCAATGTTTATCCAGCGAGGCCGTACAAATAAACGATACGTCACTCGCTGGCCGTTGTGGGGCTGTTTTACTTAATCAAATACTAGAAAACAATGTCCGAGAACTGACATTTTATTCAAAATCATAGTCTAAAACGACAGTATATTCACACTACCTCATAGCTGACTGACTGTTGAAACATTACTCTGTAAATGCTTTAATTGTTTTCGATAGTTGCCAAGTTTGCTAGCAAAGGCAACCGTGACGCAACACAAGTTCGACGTCCATTAGCTACCCTAAGCTAACATTGTTCAAGTTTACTATAAGGACACAAACGAATAATTCACGTTTTCTGATTATAATTTTCAATTAGGATTGAAGTTAGAACTGACAACAATGTTTAAACAAACAGTACGGCTACAAGTAATTTCCTTCCGCTTTTCTGTTCTAACTAGGAGAAATATCTTTGCCACCCCTCCCCCACAAAACGGTTAGCACATAGCTACAAGAGCTACTTTTGGTCGTTTACTTACTTCCCAATCATGTCACAAATACCACTACTTAAATCCGCCATGGTAGTAAAGGGCTGCTGTTTTCCTTCTTTCTCGCGAGCAAAGCAATGACTGTTTAAGATCCGCTGGAGGTTGGATTTTACCATCCGGCCTCGGAAAGAGACTCGACTGGCTGACTGCTCTCCGCTATGCTATGCTGGGTAATGATGTTCCAGAGCTGGGAAACTGCTTACCAAAGAGGATCGACCAAGTCAAGTTCAGTACTAAGACGCTGTGCTGCTTCCTTTTAATTTCAAAATAAAAGAATACACATAGAAGCGTGAGTCACGTTTCACATTTTACAAACTTGATTTTCCTGATTTAAGACATTAATTCCCTTAATACTGTATGTTCTTGCAATTGAAAAAGTGATGTAATGATTAGTTGTTTTGCATCAAGTCACAATGAGTAAAAACACATGATACAAAATCAAATTGTGACAAAAGTTAAATTTAAAGAATAATTATTAAAATGTATTAACATGTAAAAGCAGTCAATAAAGTATGTTACTGGCTTTACACAATTTATTTTTCATATATGCCCTTATATAAATCTACTACAGAATCTAATACAGAAAAACCTGTTCACAAATTACCATGTTTGTAATACCACTGATCACTTTTTGTGGATCTGTGTTGTTGGCATTGAATTAAGAATTAAAATCAGTTAACATTAGTGCCACCTCAATCTGTATGTAGACTTTGAAAGCTTTAACGGACGGTTGAATCGCCTGCCATCAAAAACACAATCTAATAAAAATGTAATAGTTAAGCCATTTATTTTCATTAACATGAAACAAGTGAAAAATCTACTTTCCATTTATTTTCAGTTAACTTGACTGTATAAAATTAAATGCAATCAATTCCACTTAACAATTAAACTGAATCTTTTATTTTGAAAGAAAGGGTTTAACTTGCAACTATACTTTAAAGAAACTTGACTAGTAACTAATGCTAACTGTGCTAAAATGCTAAGGTCGATAGTTGTTGATGTTAGTAACTTTTGTTTTGATCTGACTTGTCACCTGAAACAGCAATGAAAGACTTTCATAAAATCTTGGATATTGTCATTTTTTATCACTTTTGTTTACGAAACCGGATGTAGTTCCTGTTTACGTTTAGCTGGGGTAAAACATTAGCCTAGCTTATGCTTGCAGCTATTGGCCAGAGGGTTTCTTCAACGAAAGAGGCCCAACTGTGCTGCAGAAAAACAGAAAATAACAAAAACAAACAAACAAAAAAAAAAACATGCTGATTAATTAAAACATGATGAACCTCTAGGCATAGTAGTTCAAGTACTAAGTACACTAAAACTGGTCTCATTGTTCTAGGCTGTTTTAATTATTACAAATTAATTATTATTTTGCATCATTTAAACGTTCATAAAGCTCTGCTTCCTCTTCATCTTAAAGTCATCTGATCTCTGCTGTGAGACTTGGATTAGGATCATTTCAAATATTTTTTGCTGCCTTTAAATTGTGTTTTAGACTTGTGTCAACATATTTCAATTTTTAAAACAAATGCATTTTCTTGTATCACAGGCTTTGCAATATTTAGTTATTAAAATCTCTCTTTTTTTTTTTTTAAAGAAAACCTATCTTTAATGTGCTCCTTTCATGAAGGCATTGTGGAGGAAATAGGCCAACCAGATATGAAATTGAAAACATCAGAGCAAAAGATGTGACCATTTCATGCCACAAAATCTAAATGAGTACAGGTCCTTCTCAAAAAATTTGCATATTGTGATGAAGTTCATTATTGTCTCTAATGTACAGATAAACATTAGACTTTCATATATATTAGATTAATTACACACAACTGAAGTAGTTCAAGCCTTTTATTGTTTCTAATAGTGATGATTTTGGCAAACAGCTCATGAAAACCCAAAATTCCTATCTCAAAAAATTTGCATATTTCATCCGACCAATAAAAGAAAAGTGTTTTTAATACAAAAAAAGGTCAACCTTCAAATAATTATGTTCAGTTATGCACTCAATACTTGGTCGGGAATCTTTTTGCAGACATGACTGCTTCAATGCGACGTGGCATGGAGGCAATCAGCCTGTGGCACTGCTGAGGTGTTATGGAGGCCCAGGATGCTTCGATAGCGGCCTTAAGCTCATCCAGAGTGTTGGGTCTTGCGTCTCTCAACTTTCTCTACACAATATCCTACAGATTGTCTAAGGGGTTCAGGTCAGGAGAGTTGGCAGGCCAATTGAGCACAGTTATACCATGGTCAGTAAACCATTTACCAGTGGTTTTGGCACTGTGAGCAGGTGCCAGGTCGTGCTGAAAAATGGAATCTTCATCTCCATAAAGCTTTTCAGCAGATGGAAGCATGAAGTGCTCCAAAATCTCCTGATAGCTAGCTGCATTGACCCTGCCCTTGATAAAACACAGCGGACCAACACCAGCAGATGACATGGCACCCCAGACCATCAATGACTGTGGGTACTTGACACTGGACTTCAGGCTTTTATTTTGGCATTTCCCTCTGCCCAGTCTTCCTCCAGACTCTGGCACCTTGATTTCCAAATGACATGCAAAATTTGCTTTCATCTGAAAAAAGTACTTTGGACCACTGAGCAACAGTCCAGTGCTGCTTCTCTGTAGCCCAGGTCAGGCGCTTCTGCCGCTGTTTCTGGTTCAAAAGTGACTTGACCTGAGGAATGCGGCACCTGTAGCCCATTTCCTGCACACGCCTGTACATGGTAGAACTGGATGTTTCTACTCCAGACTCAGTCCACTGCTTCCACAGTTCCCCCAAGGTCTGAAATCGGTCCTTCTCCACAATCTTCCTCAGGGTCCGGTCACCTCGTTGTGCAGCGTTTTCTGCCACACTTTTTCCTTCCCACAGACTTCCCACTGAGGTGCCTTGATACAGCACTCTGGGAACAGCCTATTCGTTCAGAAAATTTTTTCTGTGTCTTACCCTCTTGCTTGAGGGTGTCAATGATGGCCTTCTGGACAGCAGTCAGGTCGGCGGTCTTACCCATAATTGCGGTATTGAGTAATGAACCAGGCTGGGAGTTTTTAACAGCCTCAGGAATCTTTTGCAGGTGTTTAGAGTTAATTAGTTGATTCAGATGATTAGGTTAATAGCTTGTTTAGAGAACCTTTTCATGATATGCTAATTTTTTGAGATAGGAATTTAGGGTTTTCATGAGCTGTATGCCAAAATCATCAATATTAGAAACAGTAAAAAGCTTGAACTACTTCAGTTGTGTGTAATGACTCTAATATATATGAAAGTCTAATGTTTATCAGTACATTACAGAAAATAATGAACTGTATCACAATATGCTAATTTTTTGAGAAGGACCTGTATATTCTATTTTCTCCCCCATCAAATCAGGCATAGACATTACTAAACTTCTGAAGATAAGTATTAGTAAGCACAAAACCACAAAGAGCTTCAAAGTTCGTTTTTAATAATTTTTCAATAGTTAACACAATGTGTTTTAAGGTTACATTTACATGAAAAACAGAAAATGTTGACCAAAACACCACACTACTCATTTAGACTTATTTTATTCTCATCGGTGTTTGCTGATGTCATGTCTTCCCCAGACAAAGGAAGCACACATACCCAGCACACATGACTAGAATAAAAATATTTTTTTAGACCAGACCACTTTATCTAATTTATTCAGTTCTGACACTTTTTTGTTCTTTTTTGAGTTAGGTGTCTTCACTCATAGATACAGATTAGTAATGAAACAATCATGGAGAAATTTTACTGGTTTTACTTTACTGGATCACTATGAAGGACATCCCAAACAAGCTGCAGTCATGGCACATGTGTTAAAATGATCACAGTGGCATATATGAATAAATTAGTTGCTAATGCTAACAGTTAGCTTCTACTAGCCAAGACGTTTTCTGTTGCCTCCGGGACGCTAAACCAACAGCCTTCCCCATTGCGAGTCAAAATGGGTGAGTCCATGAGTGCTAAGTGACAGTGTGTTGTTGATCTACGTCAGGCTTGTCAGATCCTAGAGTTTCACCATCTATTTTCTATCAGAAGATTAACAGGAGATAGGTGTAGGACACTGTTTTCATTTTCAGTCTACATGAAAAACTCAGAGTCCATCCATCCATCCATCCATCCATCCATCCATCCATCCATTCATCCATCCATTTTCTTCCGTTTATCCCAAGTCGGGTCACGGGGACAACAGCCTATGTTGAGAGGCCCAGACTTCCTTCTCCCCAGCCACTTGGGCCAGCTCTTCCGGGGGAATCCCAAGGTGTTCCCTGACCAGGTGAGAGACATATAGTCCCTCTAACGTGTCCAGGGTCTCCCTTTAGGCCTTCTCCCAGTTGGATGTGACCGGAAAACCTCACCAGGAAGGCATCCATCAGGCATCCTATAGATGCCTGAGCCACCTCAACTGGCTCCTCTCGATGTGGAGGAGCAACAGATCTACCCCAAACCCCTCCCAGATGACTGAGCTTCTCACCCTATTTTTAAATAGAGCTCAACCACCCTGTGAGGAAAACTCATTTCAGCTGCTTGTATCCGCAATCTTCTCCAAATCCAAATTGTAAAAGCCTTCTCCAAATCCACAAAACACATGTAGATTGGTTGGGGAACTCCCACGCACCCTCCAGGCCCCCTCTAAGGGTATAGAGCTAGTCCAGAGTTCCACGGCCAGGATGAAAACTACATTGCTCCCCCTGAATCTGACGTTTGACAATCCAACAAATCCTCCTCTCCAGAACCCCTGAACAGACCTTACCTGGGAGGCTCAGGAGTGTGATCCCCCTGTAGTTGAAACATACCTTGCGGTCCCCCTTTTTAAAAAGGGGAACCACCACCCCGGTCTGCCAGTCCAGTGGAACTGCCCCTGATGTCCACGCGATATTGCAGAGCTGTGTCAGCCAACACACCCCTAAAACCCAGAGCCTCCATCCAGAGAAGAGTGAGAGAGTATAATCAGAAATAATATTTAAAAAGAAAATGTCAGTGTTCCACACCTTTAAAAACTGTCATGTGTCTCATAATTATGACTAAGCTATCTCATAATAATGAGATTCTATCTCATGGGGCAACAGTAGCTCAGTTTGCCCTGTAATCAATGGGTTGCCAGTTTGAACTCAGGCTTCTGCAGTCATGTCCTTGAGCATGGCACTTCACCCTTCTTGCCCGCTGGTGGTGCTAGTGTAACAGGCGAGCTGTAGAGGTTCGAGCTCATGGTCTTAGGACAAAGAAGAGATAGGCGAAATACCTTTGGAGTATGGGAACACATCTCTGTTTATTTGGAAGCTTCACCAGTCAACACAACAGCCTGCGAACGAATGAATGTCTCCACAGAGAGTCTAGTGACTCCACCCCCCAGTCCAGCAGTTCAAAGTTAACAGCACATGCGCACAACACATCACCCGCTTACAGTCGTCCCCCCCTCACAAAGGAAATGTCCCCATTTCGTGAACAACACTGTGAAACGGACAACAGCATAGTAGGTATAGCATAAAGGCCTCAAATATAACATGGTACTACATGGCAGGAACCCAACATACCAGCTAACTTGTACAAAACAAAATAAAATAAAAACCCCAAATATTACCTCATCACATAGTCAGCAAAACGTGCTGGTGGTTTGGTACGGCGTCCAGCATGAGAAACCTGTACTGTACCCATACAGAAAGAGGACCCTTCCAAACTAGGACTGGTACTAACACCAAACTCAGGTGAGGGAACAGGGGTCCCCGAATCATAACCAGCTGGTGACAGGGCAAGATCTGGAGGTTCGAGGCATGGTAAGCACACAGGTGGAGTCTGAGATGGGCCAGTCAGTGGGAAGGTTACAGGAAGGAAGTAGCGCCGAAGTCGGTCATAGTGTACAGTTTGGATGGGAGCCTCATCTCCAAATGGGCTACTGATCACATAGGTAACCCCAACCGAGTTGTCCCTGTCCAGCCTCTGCTGCACAATGTAAGGTCCTTTCCAATGGAGAGCCAGTTTACGACAGCTCTCTGTCGGGTCATTTAACCACGCTAGATCCCCGGGCTCATATGGATGATGTCTCTGTCCTCTGTCATAGAATGTTCTCTGTCACTGGCAGTTACGCTGTTGTCCCTACACTGTCGAAAAGCAGTCCGTAGGCGTCTGTGTAGGAATAGAGCAAACTCATTTGAAGAGTCCTGCCCAGGACCACATTGCAGACTCGGGCCGTCAACTGGAGTGCGAGCCTCTCGCCCGTGGGTGAGAAAATAAGGTGTGAATCCAGTACTGGAGTGTACGCTAGTGTTGTAAGCAAAGGCGACTTGTGAAAGGAAGGAGTCCCACTCACCCTCCACATGCCAGTAGAATCTTAGCAAGCTGATCAAAAAGGGTTCTATTTAGCCTCTCCACCACGCCATCTGACTTGGGGTTGTAGGGTATGGTATGTGTTTTTTTTTTTTACCTATGGAGTACGGGAACACGTCTCAGTTTATTTGGAAGCTTCAACAGTCAACACAACAGCCTGCGAACGAATGAATGTCTCCACAGAGAGTCTAGTGACTCCATCCCCCAGTCCAGCAGTTCAAAGTTAACAGCACATGCGCACAAGCACAACACATCACCGCTTACACTAGGACTGCTGTGGCTACATTGTAGCTTATCACCATCTGTTTGTGAATGGATCAATGTATGAATGGCTGTAGTGCAAGGTGCTTTGGAGTCCTCTGACTCGGAAAGGCATACAAGTGCAGGCTTTTATATATATATATATATATATATATATATATATATATATATATATATATATATATATATATATATATGTATATATATATATATATATATATATATATATATATATATATATATATATATATATATATATATATATATATATATATATATATATATACGAGACAGTGGATTATTTTCATCAGAGTGGTAGGAATGGGCTTCCATAGAGTAAGCTGGTTCATTTATTTTAGTTTTTTATTCAAAATGGGCCATTTGGTCTCTCCTCTCACGCGCCGCCCGCCAGCCCCACTAGCTTTGTCCCTCACTGCGATCCGTCTCTGTCGTCCTGAGAGAAAGCATCAGCCGAGTGTACTCACTTACTTTACTGACTCAAAAATGGAAAGCGACACAACTGTTCGGAGAATAAAATCCCCCGCGACACGACATTTTGTAGCTCAAGACAACGACGGAGCCCGTGACCGGCGCGAGGATAACGGTTACAGCGGTGACCAGAAGAGGAAGCCAGAAGTGAGCCTGTACTTACTGCGGGAAGGGCTGACAGCCTCACTGGTCTCTGTGTTTATTTTGCTGCTGTGGGGTCTCGTTCATTTGTCGTTGCAGCAGCTTGTTATCGGGAAACTAAGCGGGGAGTTTAACGCATTAAGAGCTAGGTGAGTTTTATGCAAATATTTTAATTCTTCCGTAGATTTAGCAACGAAGCGTAAAAGCTAACCTTTCGGCTACGGCTTTTCTTTCCTTCCCGACCGGTACCTGTGGTAAACTAGCTGCGGAAGGGAGGACAAGTGCTTTGAGATTGTTTTTGCATGCAGGTTAAGACACTGATCTAGAAGAAATGTAGAAATCAAGGGGACACGGTGATCAGTGACAGAGAAGAGATTGTTTCTCTGTTTATTGTAATATAACAAAAGGTTAAAGAGATTGGGATGTCTTGTTTGTTAAATGATGATTCAACACGTTCTGATTAAAAGGGGTTTCTCCTGCCAGACGGCTCACTTGACCGCCAGACCGGTTGCAGGGATTTGAGTCTGAGGTCAGCAGGCTTGGGGTTGAGTTTTTTATAAAATGCAGGGCAGCAGGATTCGTCATCATTTAACTGGTTGCCTCAAATATTCGTGCTGCAATAAAACTGGTTAGTGATTTGAGCTTCTTTGTTCAACAATCTGCCAATCCAGATTAAATTGTAAGCATAAACCAATCTCCTAAAATATCCTAAACCAAAGGAGCAACACTTTATTACAACGGAACATGTAGTATCATGTTATAGGTTTGATTAGAATCACAATTGGAATTGGTCTATACACTTTTGTTATCAGTTATTACTGCGGCAGACGTGGGGACTTGCATTTATATTCAAAAGACTGTTGGATGCTGATTGGCTTGGGGGTGGCATATGGCCATTCACACACAGACACAATCTGACTCAAACCACCATTTTTAAGAAACAATTCACAACGGCTATATGGATTTTTAATTACTCACAATGGCAAACATGATGAATCTTATACCCTTGACCAACAGTTTTTGTGTTCCAAAAGTGAAAATGCGCAGATATTCAACATATCGTTACCGAAAACTGATGATGTGATTTTAATTAGTTTTAGCACGGCAGGTGAATTGGCGACTCGTTTCAGCTCTACAGGTGGAAGTAGATGCATATTTCTGCAGACTGTTTTAAGAGTACACTCACAAAAACTTATGGTATGGTTTGTTTAACCTGAAACATTTTAATACCCAAATGAGATTTCCATCTGGTTGTTTAAATCACAAACACCTTAAGGGTGTGTCTGTACACATATCAGCAAGCTGACCTATGATTGCAGCTTCAAGGTCAATCTTGTATCCACACATGCATATGGTTACATAAACAATGATTAACTCAACCAGAGAGGGTATTTCCATATGCTGCCATTTTTTTATGTGTTAAACACTGTTCAACTTCCTTTTTGCATTTTAATGTGCACTCTTTTTGTCTTTCAATCATTCTTCACCTCACAATCTAGACAACACTTGGAGCAGATTACCAGTGTTGGACCTCGGCCAGTTGGCAGCGAGGAGAACGAGGTCCTGACAGTGGGTTACTTGTTGGAGCAGATAGAGAGCATCCGAGCGACAACAGCAGCAGGGCCTCATCAGCTGACAGTAGACGTACAGCGACCCACTGGCACTTTCTCCATCGACTTTCTGGGTGGGTTCACAAGCTTCTACGACCATGTCACCAACGTTGCTGTCAGGCTGGAGCCCAAAGGTGGAACAGAGCATCTCATGCTCGCCAACTGCCACTTTGACACAGTGGCCAACAGTCCAGGTACGAAAACATTATTTTTCTTTCTTAAGGGTCTTTTTTTTAAAAATGTGAGAACAACAATTACCCGTGAGCCGGTTAAGTCAGAACTGGATTTCTAAACTAAGACCAGTGTTTACAGGCCAACATGTCGCTACACTTACGGACAGCAGAGATAAAAAAAAATGACAAATGTATATTTTTTATTTTCTATGTTGAATTAATTCAAAGAAAAATACTTATTTTTGGTCTAGGAGTATGATCATTGCTTGGGGTTTGAGACTTCACAGGTTCATATCCCGGACGAGCCCCCAATATTAGGACCCAGCTCGTTTGGCCATTACAAAAGAAGATACATATAATGGAAAAGTTAATAAAATATAATTTATTCAACCAAAATGACCTCAAGTAAATCTGAAAAACCAAAGGTTAAAAAAAGGAGGTGCAAACTGAAGGATACCTGTGGGGAGAGTGAGGTTAGAGACTACAGCAGGATTTTGGTAGACACTCTCCAGGTCCTTACTTCAATAAGCCAGGTGTGTGAGGTAGACTGCCGTGATTTGCCACAAAACGAACCACAGCATCATCACGCTGTGTTTGAAATGTTTCAAGGCCCATTTTTTGTGTGCAGATAAAACAGTTTATAAAATCAGGAAAGGAAGAGGGTCATGAACTTTTATGGTACTTATATTCAAGTCAAATGTTAACATCCAATGATGCTGTTAGTGTGTTTTCTCAGAACACTTTCTGTATGTGTTTTTGTGGTTAACGTTTAGTAAAAATGTCAAAACTGCCAAGGTTCATTCAGACAGGGTTGATCAAGAGCAGTAATATACTTCATGTACATTTTGTAAAGCTTTCGCCCTTGAGCCTGCTGAGGAGACAATGTTTCCTCAGATTATGCACACTTATACACATCCTGGTGCACATTCACACATACACAGCTTCACAGATGAGAGAAAGTAGATCCAAGAGGTACGGACCAGGACAATACACATGATTGTTTTTGAAATCCTGGGATTCCAAACATTTGTGAAACATAATAAAGGAAGAAAAGAGAGTCTGTATCTGATTTGGGACCTCATTTTTCCTTAACACAGTCTGAATTAATGTGTAGGTAGTTTACTGTCTGACAAAGCCTCTCTGGAATGAGGATTAATATATTGCTGACATGGTGTAGCAGTTCCACCCCCACACCACGAACACACTTACTCCATAAAGCTCAAGCACATGATGTCGCTGACCTTCACTCCAGTTGTTTGCCTTTTTGCATTTATTCTTGATAAATAGTTCTTCTGAAAAGTTTTTAGTATAATCTGGTTGAAACACGTGACCTTGATCATGTTCTCCCTTTTCTTCCCTTTGTCCTCACCAACACAGAAGTCAGGATTTCTAACCAAGTTGCTGCATTTTTCTTTAACATCTGCTCCCAATCTGTTTGTACCTTCATCCCATTGTACTCCAGAATGATCAACTCTGTTTTTGTTTCTAACCTCGCACCTCTTCACTGCTTTGATTAAACTCCAGCCTTCACGTGGGAACAACGAGACAGTTCACTGCTGCTGTGCTCCACATACTGTACATGTGTTTGTTTATCGGTTTCAGGTGCCAGTGATGATGCAGTGAGCTGTGCGGTGATGCTGGAGGTCCTCCATTCTTTAGCCAGTCAGTCCACCCCTCTTCGTCACGGTGTGATCTTCCTCTTTAATGGAGCTGAGGAAAATGTCTTGCAGGTAAGAGGATGAGCATGTGGCACACTTCAAAGCAGCAAACGTAGCTGTTATTGAATTTAATATGTTTTATTTTTTTCTTTTATTTTGGTTCTCATCTGTAATTTCAGGCCAGCCATGGATTTATTACGCAGCATCCTTGGGCTGAGCAGGTGCGTGCCTTCATTAACTTGGAGGCTGCAGGTGTTGGAGGAAAGGAAGTTGTTTTCCAGACAGGTATTGTACAATTCACATTATTTTCTTTTCTTAAAGGCATCGTTTTTTTAGGGATGTGTATTGGTGAAATTCTGGCAATACAATACGCATCACGATCATCGACATATATACGATATCACGATACGGGGAGACAATACGATATATCACAAGATATTGCGATGCATTCAGCCAGATGATATTAGCGATTTTTTAATACTGAATTTATTGTAGGAAAATTCAATAAACAGTCCAAATTGAAACGTGACTTATTTAACGTGAGGTATCTGAACCATAATAGAGGGATTTACATTTCAGTGGTGGAAACAAAACCCATTGCACACTGCTGCCATTTAGTGCCTTTGAATTGCACCAAAAGAAAAGAAAATACACAAACGTTTGCATGTAAATTCTTCCAAAAATTTGATACACAGCTTTTACATATCAAGATAATATCGCAGGAAAAAATATCACAATATATTGTCATATCAATATTTTCTTACATCCCTAGTTTTAATTTAGTTCATGCTTCGCGTGCTGCCTTCCCTGGGACAAAAAGGCTTTTAAAATAGACACTGCTTTTTTTTAACACTTCAAAACATTTGTAAATCTAAAAACACTGTCGAGATTTTTGCAACACTCACAACAACCATTTTTAAGTAAAGGTAAACATTCTAACATCTATGGAAACCCTAGGGGAAAAATGCAGTTGTTAGAAATAAAACGTGGCTACAGTTTTGTTGTAAATGTTTCTACTTTCTGCTTTGGTCCCTTTTTAATTTACACCTGGGTAACTTTTCACTAAAATCACAATTTTTCAATGTTCACAAAGTTTAGCTACACAGTCAAAAATAGTGAAAATTAGCATGAGAGGAACATGAATAATTAATATATATTTCTTTAAATATCATAAAAATGGTACAGCGATTTTCTCCATTAGCATTGAACACCATTGACAGACCTTTATGATTTATTTACTTTGCAAAACAAAAAATATCTTATTTCTAACCAGTAGGGATGCACAGTATATCGGTATCGGTCGATGTTAGCTACTTTTTAACATATCGGTATCGGTCCATTAAGTCCATTGCCTGTATGGATCAGCAGCCACTGGAAAAAGGAGTTGCTGAGCAGAACTTTTTCTCCCTTTTACATCTAAAGGTCCAGAGAACCCGTGGTTGGTCCAGGCATACGTTCATGCAGCCAAACACCCCTTCGCCTCCGTGGTTGGGCAGGAAGTCTTCCAGAGTGGCGTCATTCCCTCTGACACCGACTTCCGCATTTACAGAGATTTTGGCAACATCCCAGGTAAGGGCAACAGTGGTGCTGCAGATAAAAGGAAGCCTTGTGCTTTTAATTTTGTTCAAAGGTAAAAAATAAAAATGCTTTGGGCACCAAATAAACAGAATGTCCTCTAATATGTTTTATGTCTCTGTTTTGGTGTCTGAAACAGGCATCGATCTTGCTTTCATTGAAAATGGTTTCATCTACCACACCAAGTATGACACTGCGAACAGGATCCTGACAGACTCCATTCAAAGAGCTGGTATATAAACAGTCTTATATGCATTTTACTTAAATATCTTGTGTTTTCCATCTATATTAGCCACATGAGGCAGTCTCAGGCTTATTGTTGGGTCTACATACACTCAAAAAAAGGAAATGTTGAATATGCTTCACCAATTTATGGCTTGCAAAATATTTTGCTCCCGTACATTGTCCGTGGGGTGGGGTGTGTGTGGGTGGGTGGGTGGGTGGGGGGGTGGGGGGTTGGGGGTGGGGGGTTAGCGCGTGGAACATTTTGCTGCCTGCAGTGAACAAAAACAATTGTTTCACCTCCACTTTCAACCCAACTTCCCATCAGCTCCCTGATCTCCAGCAACAGACTGCTTCTCATTTACTCATTGCTTCTGTTTTACTGAATTAATGGCCTTTACTAAGCAGAAAACCCAGTCAATCAGCACTAAAAACCCGAGACGGTTGGCATCTTCCCTATCTCTCTCAGCAGCTTCTGGACATGTCCCTCCTCCTCTTCTGAACGCGGCAACTTGCTGTGACAGACATGAATTATTAGAGAGGACAAGTGAGATTTCAGAGGGAAGAAGAGAGTAATCTTCAGAGAAGACAGAACAGCTTTGTAAGATGGAGATTCAGACACAGCACATGAGATGATGATGATGATGATGATGAACCTCAAGCTCTCTATTTGAAACCTTGATGGAAACACTAGATTTTTAATCTCCTCTTTGAAATCGGTTTCAGAACTCAGCTTTTTTTTGCAGCACTTTCCTGCAATTTCAGTTAAAGTTATTCTGAACTCATTTTTACGAAGACATTTATTGTGCAGCTAAGCTAAAGTGTGTAAATCGGTTTGTTAAATAGAAAAAGGAAGTGGGCAATCTAGGTCTGAATGTGCGCGTAGGTGTTGAACACTCCTTTGTTTACACTTGAGGTCCTCGGTGAGCCCACAAGGCGAAAGAACAATCAAGCTTTGTTTCAACGGTGTGTTTGTGTGTGTAGACAATGAGGCGGCACTAAAAAAAAAAAAAATGCCAACTTCAGCTGCAGTGACACTCAGCTACTTCCTACTGATGCTACAAGATTTTTCATTCACATTAAACTCTGTAGCCACTCTGATGAATCAACTGATAGACAGCTGCTGTGTGTCATAAGACAAGCCACAAAAACCTTCACACACACACACACACACACACACACACACACACACACACACACACACACACACACACACACACACACACACACACACACACACACACACACACACACACACACACACACACACACACACGCGCACGCACGCACGCACGCACACACACACACACACACCAGTTTGAGTCACATTAGCTTATGCAAACTGTTGGAATGTCTTTCTGCAAGTGTCAGCTCACACTCTTTCAGTCTACAGCAAAAGTATTAAATCACCCCTTAATTTATTCAGATTTTGCTGAAAGATGACCTACTTCTTGTCATGTGACAGCGAGTTACCTCTTTCACATTTAGTCACATAAATCATTCACTTCCTCTCTTTGTGGCTGAATTAGACAAGATAAAAGTTCTCCAACCTCTAAGGTGTTCCATTTCCCTCTGATGACAAACTTACAGTTTGTTTTTGCAGCTTAGCTCTAAAAGTCACCTCCTCTTTGTAGGTGACAACATCCTGGCTGTGTTGAAGCACCTGCTGATGTCAGAGACATTGGCAGAATCCTCAGAGTATCGTCATGGCAACATGGTGTTTTTTGATCTGCTGGGAGTTGTAGCGGTGGCTTATCCCGCTCGCGTCGGCACCATCCTCAACTACATGGTGGCCGCGGCCACCTTTCTCTATCTGGCCAAAAAGGCCTCGCTGCCTGGTAACGGAGGTAGGCTTCACACCCTGGTGGTTTGTTTTGTTTTTCTTTAAGAATCATAACACATGATGAAAATGATCTTTTATCTGTCTAAGGTGGACGCTATGTCCGGGATCTGGCCTGTGCCACGGGTGTAGCTGTGCTGAGCTGGGTGGTCACCCTGCTGTCGGTGCTGATCGTCGCTCTGCTCGTCACCCTGCTGGGGCGCTCCATGTTTTGGTACACTCACTTTTACGCAGCTATCGGCCTGTATGGATCAGCAGCCACTGGAAAAATGATCCTCATCCACACGCTGGCTAAAAACCTGTACTACGGGGTGAGCCTTTCTTTTTGGGCTAACAAACACACAGGGCTGTATATTTGCTGGTTGTTAAATTAAATCGATGTTTGCGAACCAAATTTTTTGTTTTATTTCTCCAGACCTTGATGAACACATTTCACATTTTACAATAACAGGTGCAGAATTAGAGAAGTGAAGGAGCATAAATTAGATTGGCTTCTGTGAGTTTAACCTGCCGATTTAAGGGGTTTAAACCCAAAGTTCATATTGACTGTACAGCTGTTTATACACACACACACACACACACACACACACACACACACACACACACACACACACACACACACACACACACACACACACACACACACACACACACACACACACACGCGCACACACACACACGCACACACACACACACACACACACACACACACACACACACACACACACACACACACACACACACACACACACACACCAGTAAATCTTCCAGCTCTCTGGTTCTTGTATGTCGCTGGTTTTTTATTTCATCGCTGTCAAGGTTTGTGGTGTTAAAATGAGCACAAAAACTGGTCACCATCATTGTTGTGTTTTTTTATTATTATCTTTTTTATAACTTCCTGCTTTAAATGAAAGGTTTTTCTTTCAGGGTGTTCGTCTGTTGGAGCTGGGCGACCTGTACTTTGACGTGAGTTTGTTGCTGTGGTGCTGCAGCCTGGTGTGGCTGACCCAGAGGGGTCTGTGTTCTGCCTACGTGCCCATGCTGATGGTGGCATTCCCTCTGATCACCAGGCTCCTGCTGAGCAAAGAGCTCAAACACAAAGGTCCGTGTCAACAATAACACTGCTACTGAAAACCATTCATAGATTATTGAATTCAGAACCCTGCAAAGTTCAGAAATGTAGGAGGTTTTTGGTAAATAGTCACTTTTTAAATGTACTTTTTCCCAGGAGCATCACTGAAGTACAGTTTTCTGTACCTTCTGGGCCTCACACTGCCGTACGTCCACTTCATGTTCCTGATCTGGGTGGTTTTTGAAATTTTCACCCCCATCATGGGCCGCAGTGGAACAGAGATCCCCTCTGAAGTGGTGATGGCCTCTCTAGTTACCCTGGCAACCATCTTCCTCTCCACATTTTTTGTATGTATCCCTCCTTTAAAATGTTTTATATAGAGGCTGACCGATGTTTTATTTTATCTATCTATATCTAAAGCCGATTATTAAGGCTGATATATATATATATATATATATATATATATATATATATATATATATTTATTTATTTATATATATATATATGCACTCACTGTGTGTAATATACATTAAGTAAGTCGATAAATATCTTATATTTATTGAACTTCTAATATAAATAAACTCAAAACATTTAAAAAAACAGTGTGTTGGGGTCCTTCAGGTCCCTTCTTCAGTCCAGTAGTGGCGGCAGTTGGCCTGAATTTTTTTATTGATTTTTTTGTCGGCTTTAAAAAAAAATTTGGCCAATGTAGAAAAGATTGAATATATCCGCTCGATATATTTTTTCAGCCGATATCTTGGTCTGCCTCTGGTTTTAAGCTAAAAACTTGTGATTTAATCATTATTATTGAAGAAAAATAGCAACTTCTAGCTGATAAAATCAGAGATTATGTCTTCATGATTGTTCTTAATCACGTTCTGCTTTGTTATTTCTATGTTTTTTTAAATTTTTTCAGCTACATTTCATGTACCTGGTGAAGAGCACCAAGTGGATCCTGACTGGTTTGGGTTCAGTCTTCATGGTCATGTTCCTGTTGGTCTCCAGTGGTCTTTTCTTTCCTTATTCAGATAATCCACAGAGCCCGCGGCCAAAGAGAATCTTCCTGCAGGTTAAGAACCACAACACACACAGATGTGCACACGTACACAGAAACCCAGGCACACATCGTTGTTCTAGAGGTAAATGCTTACCCTCGTTTTCTGTCTGAAGACATTTTAGATGAAGACACAAGGACAAATGCCTTGTTTTGGTTCAAAAACACATTTTGAATGCATGATAATGTAAAAAGATGACGTGGTTCACGTGATCTGATAAACACGCGTCCTTGTAGATTATTACAGCAGCGTAAAGCTTCCTACTCTCCCTGCAGCACACGACTCGGACTTTCTACAACCTTCAGGGCCAGGTGGAGAGCCGAGACGCCGGGCTCTGGATAAACAGCTTTGACTTCACAGGCATTCAGCACATCACACCCCACATCCCAGAGATCAACGACAGCATCCGGACCCACTGTAAAGACGACAGACCCTTCTGCGGTTACCCCTGGTTCCTGCCTGTGAAGTTCCTCAGCAGGTCAGGACTGTTTTTTTTTTTACTTTTTCCTTCTGAACTTTATGTCCTCAACTTGATATCATGTGTTTTTGTAGGAAGAACTGGTATCTTCCTGCTGCCGAAGTGTCTCCGAGTTCTCCGGTGGAGTTCAGCCTTCGGTCCAAAGAGGAGACGAGCTGGGGGACTGTAAAGATGACTTTCGATGTGAAAGGTGACAAGCTCTCAAAAGGGTTGAGAAATATTTCTAAAACATGACACATTAATAAAACTGTGTGTGTGTGTGTGTGTGTGTGTGTGTGTGTGTGTGTGTGTGTGTGTGTGTGTGTGTGTGTGTGTGTGTGTGTGTGTGTGTGTGTGTTTGCTGCAGGACCCAGCCACATGTCTCTGTATCTGATGCCCCACCGAGGATCCGCCCTGACCAGCTGGTCTTTCGGTGACGGGACGCCTCAGTTCGATCTGAGCGGAGAATATTTTGTCTTCTATTCTCACGGCCTCAACACGCCCGTGTGGACCTTCTGGTTTGAAATACAGGTATGGTCTAAAGGGACGTCCTAACTTCGTTGTTGCTTATTAACATTTAATGTTTCGATTCTGTTTTTATTGTAAATAAATAATTAAGTCGTCTTTGTTTCAGAAGGCGAGGGGAGGTAGTGTTGCAAGGAGATCAGGTTTTGTTTAAACTGGACTTGGATTTAGAAATCAGGCCTTTAAATGAAAGTTTATTTGCATTTTCTGTGATGAATCAGGAGTAGCCCAAAATCAGCAGGTCAGAGCTGCAAAACAGAAAAAAAAATCACAAGCTGGTATCAGCCCTCGACAAAAGTTTTAATGCTTTTGAGCAACATTTAGTTTTCATTTTCAGGCAACATGACAGATGTTTAAACAGGGAAGTTTAATTCTATTTTTAGATTATGACTTTCAGTATTTTACATAATTAAACCATTAATTAATTTACTGCCACTAATGACTAAAGTCGTCAATTGCGTTTTTTTAACGGGGCGGGCGTGGGAACAAGCCCCCGCACCGTGAGAGTAAGCATCACGGCTCTAAAGCGGATCTTCACCCGTGTGTGTCACACGTCATGTGATCAGGAAGCAGAAAATCCATCAATTAGATCGATTTTGGACGCTGCTGGGAAAAAAATCGATGCACTAACCGGGGAAGCGTCTGCAGCTCACACTTCCACAACGGATTGTGAAAGAACAGAAAAAGCTAGAAACAAGCGGATTCTTCCTGGTGTAAGAAGAGAGTCTACTCTTTCTTTTGTTTGTTTGGTGTTTACATGGTTACAAAAGCACAGTGTTCTGTGACTCTTTAGAAAACAGTAAAACGCTCAAAAACGCCGGCAGTCAGGGGCTTTCTGTTCAGAATACAGCCGGCACTTAATCTGATCAAAGTTTTTATTTATTTATTTCTTTCTTTACGAAACACAACATGGTTGAGCTCCAGCCAACAGCAGGTTAGGGTTCTTGTGGTTTTGAAAGCTTGAACTTTAAAGTTTCTGAAACTGTAGCAGAAATTGGCTTTATGTCAATAATGTTTTTATTTTTATGTGATCATTGTTTTGATGATTTATGTACAGTTCACCTGTGTGTAAATCATCACCAATGTAAAGTTTTGGCGTTTTTTTTTGCAGCTTTTCTAACTAAAGGCATGATCTTGAGCTCATCTGATTTATTTTACACAATTATTCACTATTATAGAAAACTTTTATGTAAATGGGAAATTAAAACCCCACGACTCTTTGCTCCGTCTCTAACCCCCTCAAGGTTCACATTTTTTCAGCTATTGAATATTTTCTGTAAGTTCAGGATAAAATAATTTAATTTCTTTAAAACATTTTGGGAGCTTCATATTCATAATTAGCTTTTATCATTATCAAAAAACTTTTTATACTCTTTCACAATTTTCCAGTGTAATTCAAGGCAATTTAAGCATTTAAATGACATCTTACACACAAATAGATTTTTTCCTGTGAGTTTTGACTCTCTGTGATCCGGTTTTACTTCCAGACTGAAACTGTGTTTTAAATCTCAGCAGGAAGAAGTTAAAGTGATTTCCTGACTAGCAGAATCCTGTGAAACATCTGTTGTTCTGCTCTTTTGACTGCCTGGTTTTCCTCTTTATACAAAGGCCGGTTTAATAAGCATTCCTTCTTTTTTCCCAAGTTCATTCCTGACATTTCTGGAATTGGGCCAGTCCTGTTCTGAAGCCAGAAATGTCTGTAGGAGATTAGTTTGCTGAACACTGCCCTGTTGTGTTTGAACGCATACCTTCCCTCTTAAGTCTCCAGAGCATTTATTTAATTAATGATAATTAGGACTGGAAAAAAAAACAAGGTTCATTTATTACAAACTCATCAGAATTAATTGATTTGATTTTTCTGTCTTTCAGCCTCCCACAGAACTGAACCCAGCCGGTCCAGAGGGAATGATTTCAGTCGCTATTTCCACTCATTATTTCTTCGGTGAAGCCAGGCGGACTCCTCAGTTGGAGGAAATCCTCCTCCAGTTTCCCACCTGGGCTTTTCCCTCGTCCTGGGTCAGTACCTACGACATGTACCGATACTGAGGAGAAACGTCACAGAGACTGAGGAGAGCCAAGGGCTAACACTAACACCCGCCCGCGCTCTGTCCCGGCCAGCCTGAGAGACCTCCGTCGTAGTGTCACAAGTAGCTAACGGAGCAGCACCGGCGCTCAGCTGACCACAAACCTCGTGCTCACTACTGGCTTAGTGAAACAAAGGAGTTAAAGGATTATTTTTATTTTACTAAGCTGTGCCTTTACTTTCCACACACACACACACACTCTCTCTCTCTCTCTCTCTCTCTCTCTCTCTCTCTCTCTCTCTCTCTCTCTCTCTCTCTCTCTCTCTCTCTCTCTCTCTCTCTCTCTCTCTCTCTCTCTCTCTCTCTCTCTCTCTCTCTCTCTCTCTCTCTCTCTCACTCACTCATCCTCCTTCCTTTCTCGTGCTGTTGAATGATTAACACCCTTGTTTACCGTCATCAGCTGGAACAAGTAACACCACCGTCTCCACCAACACTCAAGCTGTCGGTCGAAACAAACTGGAACATTTTTACTTTTAAAAAGTCACTTTTAATGCACTTTGTCTATCGGGAGCAAATAGGTCCAGTTTGAGTGAACGGGTGAAACGGTTCATCGTTCCTGCAGCAGATGGCCTCCACGTGAATAAATAAGCAGTTTAAATAAGGAACAGCTGCTCCAGCTATCAGAGGTCTGGAAAAAATCCAGCAAACTAAAATCTAGTCTTTACATTTCATTTTAATGTAATGAAATTTGTTTAAAAACTGGGCCACATCGGCACCAGTTACTTCTGAATCACAATTAAATGCTTTTTAAAAATTCTGAGAAAAACAAAACATGAATCTTTCCTTGTGGGGAAAAATGTCAAATATTGGAGCAATAAAGTCTAAAGTCCCCTCAGTCATCGTCACACCGGTGAAATTACATCTCCGCGTATGACCCATCCCCGTGGGCAGCGGTGAGGTGCAGCAGTGGCTGTGCTCGGGAACTATTTGGAGGTTTAGTCTTAGAGTTACCTCAAAATGTGAAACATTCTGAATAAGAGTTGTCAAGCGTTTGTCCATTTTGCTTTTATTTTAGCACATTCTTTAATTAGTTTAATGAAAAGTAACGATTAGCATTTATCCATTTTATGCCAAGAATTGTACATTTTTACTACCACTTTTGCAAATGTCAATATAATTTTTATGTGCAATACAGAAGAGTGACAGTACGAGTAGAATTGACTATAGAACATAATTAAGATTTTAGATATTAATTTATTTTAAAAACAAAAAACATGTTTGGATTTAATTGACTTAAAAAATCCTTACATTTAAACTGTTTTGATTATTTATGCCCCAGGTTGTATTCTTCACAATTTTTTTTAAATCTTTTTTAGTTCTCAAAATATTTTAAGTTTAACCTAATTTGTATATTTTAAAAAAATCTATAATAAGACGTTTGTGTTTATTTACTTACCTGAAAAATCTAAACATTTTCTCATTAAAAACACTCAAATTCCTCCTTTTAAAAAATGTTTTAGCTTTATTTTATTAACATTTATTTATTTAATAAAATGTCCCAAACTTACAGGATATTTGCATGTAAAGTAGGTTTCGTTTAAAAAAGAAATAAAATGTGATAAAATGTACTTTCACTGATATATTTTGGGTTTCTCTCAGTAAAGATTCATTTTTCATCAGGAAGAAAAAAAAACATCAAAAAATGTCAAGAAGTTGTATTAAATGAGGTAAAAACAACAAAAGCACTGGTTACCTGATTGAGGTTAACGTGTGTTGTAGAGATTTTATTGGATGTAACTGGGTGAATAAAATGCACCGCCTCTGTTTTCAGGAGATTTATTAGAACTTTTCCACCTTTAGGCTCTTTTTTTAATAATTTTTATCCTGATGAGTTTGCTTAGATTTAAGCTGGAATTTAGTTAAACTTTAGTCTTAAAAACAAAATAGTTTACCTCAAAGCGATGCTTTGTCAAGAATTTTGAGCAGAAGACGCCTTACAGTTTTGCTCCCAAAGACAAACACGGTGTTTACTGCTGTGGACACAAACGTCTCTGGTCTTAAAGTGCCACTTTGTGTTTGTGTTGTGTTTGCAGATGAACAGAACCGAATTATTCTGCAGCTTCTGAATGCAGTAATGCCTTTTCTTTGCAAGCTGTGTTTGTTTAATGTGGTATTTCGTACAGGCTTTGCCCTTGAATGAGCCAATTCGTAGCAATTAACCCATAGCGTAGCCTTAAAGAACAAAGCCTATACTCATGGAATACATAACCATCGTTTTCATCAGATCAGGTGATCTCATCAGGTGTCCTGGAGGTCACGCCAAAAATCAAACCATTAAATGGTCAGCTTGTTTTTGTGCTACAGGGAGATGAAACGTGTGTTCTGTGGTGTTTTACAGATGGATAGATCACCTGATCTGATGACTTCTGAGTGACAGAGTGGCTCAGAAGTCATCAGATAAGCTTCAGATTGAGCTTAAATCTTATTTTAACCCATAATGAGAAACTGGCTGAAAAACCTCCGATCTAAATAGAAGGATGTCTGGCTGAATGTTAGACCTTAGTCTACAGTCACTTGTGAGTCGCTTTGGACAAACGCGTCTGCTACATACATAAACATAAATATGAGTTTCAGAGTATATGCAGTCTAGAAGAAGAAAAGTCCAAAACTACTGGATTATTGCTCTAAAATTAAATGAAAACAAATTTGAATGTGATTCAGTTTATATTTTCAAACTCTGAGCGTCAGAAATCTTCCCATTTCTAGTTGTGATGATGGATGAAAAACGTGAAATGCTGTGAAACGTTCTTCATTCACTCTGGGCGCCGCCGTCGTATTAAAAACCGTTTTCTGTGTTGAGCACAAGTTCACTCCTGTATGTTGCTCCATCTAAAACTACAGGAACAAGATTCACAATGTAAAAATGTCTTAAAGTATTACATCTCATTATCTTTTCCTGTTACCTATTTTCTGTCTGTAGAGCCCTTTTGGGTTAAAAGTATACGACAGATGGTTTGTCACTAATAAAACCGATTATTAATCTGTGGGTGACTGGTTTTACTGGGATTGATGTGGTCAACAGGTATCTCTGTCTAAAGGATGAGGTGGTTTTAGATTATGCAAAAAGCTTGAACGTACTTGTTTAACAATTAAAAAGCTTGTTATAACTGCTGTCTGTGTGTTCTTTCAGCTGCATCATACTTCTGTGTAATAGTCATCAGCCTCTACAGACCCTTTAAGGAACAAAAAACCCATAATGCAACTCCAAACTGACAAATTTGACTAATTAAAGTCAGACATAGCTTTTTAATTTAATTATTTAAAAAAATGAAACTTGTCTGTTAAACTGATGTTACTCCTAGAAATGATTGGAAAAGGAAAGCAACAGGAAGGAGGCTTGGCTCTGTTCTGGAGTGAGATGTTCTGCTCAGTGAATGCTTTGAAACCTGTGTGTGTGTGTGTGTGTGTGTGTGTGTGTGTGTGTGTGTGTATGAGTGAAAAATGAAGCATGCAAAACATTTTAAAAATAATTTATTGGTCTTTTATGTACAGGAAGGGAAAAAAAATTAAGTAGAAAACTGAATGAGTAGAAAAAGCGAATGTACAAGACAGCATCTTTACACTGCATTCAGTATGTCTGCCATCCCAGAGATTAAACATCTCTGAGTAAACAGGAGATACTTTTAAACTGTACACAGAAGGGTGGGGGTGTCACTGTCCATTACACACCTGACTGACTCCTCCCACTCAGCCCGCAGAGAGAAAAAAAAACATCAAGCATCTGCAATGTTCATTTCCGTAGGAAACTGTCTTGCATGCCGTCAGTCCTAGTTTGGGGCCGGGAATCATTAGGTTTGAACTGTTTTTTAATATTTTTGTTCCCTCGGAGTAACGACTCAAGCGTTCAGTTAAACGTGCTTTAACAGAAGGCCTCTGGATGTTAAAAGTCTTTGGTTCATCGTGTTTTCGTTTTCAAGTCAGGTGAAGCTCACAGCGGAGCGTGGCTGTAGGCGGGTCTACCGGAACAGGACAACAACACAGGTGTGCATGTGTCGGCCAGTTGCCCTTCTGAATAAAGAGGATTAAAAAAAAAAGAAAAAGTCTACGAAACAAACAGAGAACTTCCTGTGTTTCAATAGAAACGCAACATTTTGGTCAACACAGACAAAAGGAAAGGGGCGCACATAAAAACATAAAGCTCCAGTAACATTTTCAACTCATTGCACGAGATAATACTGACACATCTGACAAACCTTGTAGATGAGAGCTGACCTCACAGTGGCGTAAGGTGGTAAAGGTTATCAGTTATTAAAAAAAACCTCAATTCAGCAATTATCACTCAGCTATAACGCCAATAAATAAGAACTAAACAACTAATATGATAAAAATCCGCTCCAAGTGATCAACCGTGTTAATACATAAAGAATACAGGGCTACAAGGCTAAATCATGATCTTAACACTGCCTAGAGGGACTCAAGTGAAGCTTTTTCTGATGATAGGTCCAAAATATAAGCAAGGCTTAAATAACACATCGACCTGCTGCACTGACGACAGGAAATCTGGAGTTTAACCGAGTTGAAAGAGTCGGCTGATTTGGTTCTGCAGCATTTTTTTTTAAAAACACTGATCGTCTAAATACTTGGAAAGGAAGCAAGTTGTTTAATCTGGCTTGACTTCAGCTAAGGTCGGGTGTGAAAAAGCGAAAGGTGAGTGGCGAGAAACGGCACAAACAACAAATAATTCCTCATAATAATAATAATCCTATAAGCGTTAGTGAATCACACAGAGTTCATATGTTTTCTTCACGGAAAATTCAAGAGCAGGTAGAAAAATAGTCGTATTTTTTGTTACATCGAAAAAAGTTATCAAAACATTTTAAAATCATGAGGTATGAAAAGTATGAAACAGCTCTCGTGCAGGCACACGTCAGCGTGCGGCGTAAATGGTTTCTTCTACTTTAGCGTCGTAGCGTAGCTGATCAGATTCTCTGATGTAGAACAAAAAAAAAATACTGGTGCTTTGATGTGCTGCTCTGCAGCCTCCAAAACACCTGGAGGAGTAAAAACTGACAGGTGACCCTTTTATTTCTAACAGCGTGTTTTGGTGAAATGTCAGACTGAAACCCAGCAGCCTGCTGAGAAGATGCTTGTTCAGGGGGCTCTACTCATCACAAAGGGCGAATCTGAAGGTTAGATAATACTGACTGCAGAGAAAGGTACTTCCTGAGCACGCACACACACACACACACACACACACACACACACACACACACACACACACACACACACACACACACACACACACACACACACACACAGTCTGTTTCCAGTCAGCTGCTGCTGCTTCCTCACATCTCTCCCTCAGTCGAAAGTTCACAGGTTAGTCCAGAAAAGGCCCCAGTGTTCAGGACAAGGTGCAGTCGTAGGTTCCCTCCTCCTCTCCCTGCTCCTCGGTTTGTTCGGGAGGGGAGTCCTCTGAGGGGAGGCGTGGAAAACCTCCCGTCGGTTCTAGTGAGGGTAAGGCCAGGCCCAGAGGAGCTACCACCCCTCTGTTGTCTTCGGCTCGAGGTGTGGGAGCTCCTCCCGGACCTTCGGGGGCGCTGAGCTTCGAGGTCTGGCTGGCGGACTGGAATGATTCAGGCTGCACCTGCTCAGATGTCACCTCTATCAGCTGCTGCAGCTGTGGTTGGATCAGGCTGAGAAACGGTTTGTATCCCAGGCTGCTGGGAGAGGGGAAAATGTGAAAAAAGATCTCCCCAAAACAATGAAAACATAAAATAGGTGCGTATTGCACTCACCAGTCAGTAGAGACCCACGAATCAACAGCCAACAAGCCGTTTCGGACACTCTGCACCGTTTCTGGAGGAACCTCAGGGTTGTCGAGGAAACTAATCACCTGTTTGATGACGTTTGAATCCCGCAGAATCAAACCGATCACAACGCACCACTCCAAACAGCCCGCCTCCATGAACACGTGTAGGAGGTACCTGGAGGACCGCCGAGATGTCAGCCATCAGCTCGGATGGGATTAGGATTAAAGATCCGGAGAGCTGGTCTCACCTGAGCTGCACCTGGGACTTGTGCGGCCCTTTGTTGGCCAGCTCCATGGAGATGTGCTCCAGCTCGGCCTGACTCAGGCAAAGCGCGGAGGAGTTCTCCTCCACCATCGTCCAGTCGCCGTCCACCACTGAGCTGGTCTCTGTCAGATCAGTGGCCGAGCCGATGCTGTACTCCTCGACTGGGAGTCGCAAAAAGTGAAGTTAGCGGAATGTAAAAGTCGTTTGTTGGTGATAAACTACAAGCTCCAGCACGAAGGAGGCGTGTCGTTACCTTTATTAGTGAGCAGAGACAGGAAAGCGTCTCGTGTCTGAGGCGAGTGTGGGTCAGAGTGAGCGGACGAGGCTGTGTCCATGTCTTTGTCCCTCTGTCCAATTCCGTCCATCCAGGTGTGGTTGGTGGGGGTTGTGGAAGGCGGCGCCGAGTCCATGTCGCTGTTTAGCAGGCTGTCTGCAGACTGTGACTTCAGCAGCTGGGCGCTCAGAACTTCAACAAAAACACAAGACAGATTCAGACTCTTCCAACTTTAAACGTGGCCTTAATCCCTCACCTGTGCGGCAGCGTCCGTTCTTCAGCGGCGAGTTGAGACTTCCCACGGGAATAACGGGGAAGGGCCAGAGGAAATCCTTGTGAAGTTTCTTCAACGCTGACACAAAGTCGTCTACTCGAGCTACGCGATTCCTCTCGCGGCACAGCCAGCCGATGAGCTCGAAGCCAAGCTGCGCAGAAAAGCACCCCAGGTCTCGAAGGCGCACCTGCTCCAGGAGGTGGCGGGCATGGCGCCAAAGCATCATATCGATGTACATGTTCTCCGCGCACTCCGCATCCCGACTGGAAGGAGACGACACAGCAAGGAAACAGTGGAAGAGCACGTAGGAGGCTAACGCATTACAACATAATCAGCGGATGGTCCGTACCCTTTAGCAGATGCTCCAGTGGGCATGCTGAAGGTCTTCTGCAGGTTGAACTTCCCTGTTGTGATGGCATCTGCCGACTGAGACAAACTGATGCTGCGATTCCTAAAGAACTCAAAGCCTCCGGTAGAGCTAGGTTCCTAAGAAGAACAATGACATTTTAAGCCTCGCCGATCCACTAAAGAGAAGGTTTGCGTTCATTCCCGTTTGGTTTAGCCTCACCTGAGTGGATGGAGTGGAGGGCGGGGACTCCATCTCCCCTGAGCCAATAGCTTTGAGGAATCTAATCATGTGTCGGCAAAGGTCCCACTTTCCCTGCTCCAGCGCGGTGTTAAAGAGGAGAGTGGCGTGCTGCCGGCTCACAGCTGGAACTTCCATGTTCTGAAAGGAAATATTTATATGTGACTTTAGAAAATTTCACATCAACTCAGAGAAAAGCTTTTACAAAGTCCAGACCAAAATGCTGGGTACAGATATTTATAGAAACTGAAGGTTTTAGTAGATGTGCTGCAAAGAGATAATTATTTTTTTAATGACAAAGTTCAGATAAAAAAAACCTGCCGTTTCTACAAAATATCCTCATTAAAATGTGTTTTTTTTTTTGTTTAGAAAAGCCTTCGGCGATCTAAAATGCTGTTGTGACTACAGCAGGCCTGACACGGTCACAGGTTAAAGCATATGCATGAGCCCTGTGCACTGGGTAAAAGAGAACAAGACAAAGGTTACATGTGTGTAAGTTAGACATGGGGCCATGACATCACTGTTTTTAAATGACTGCATTTTCGCTGTCCACATAAAAAGATGAGGCTGGTGTTGGAAAATGTTTCCACCAGTTTGTCTTTGGCTCACCCCAAGATCGGTAACAGATTTCTCATACAGGGCCAATGAAGCTAGGTCATAGCAGTGGGTCATCACACTTGCCTGCGAACCCCCCCCCAAAGGCAGAAGATACACAGCTAACAAAAGTGGACCAAGAATGGTGCCCTGTGGTACCCCCCCATTTAAAATCCACACAGGAGGATGAGCTCTACCATCATGATCCTACATTTTCTGTCTTTCTGTATTTTTTAATCACAGCAACTACCTGTAGAATAATCAAATAAGAGGCTGCTGTGTCCAGATCTTGAGCCATGAGGCACTCCTCAAAAAGATCTTTGGGGTTTCCCACTGCCGCAAACAGGTAGTTCCACAGCGCGTACTCCGTTTTCCTGGCGCAGTGGACAATTGTCTGGAGGAAAAGGGGGAACTCAGTGATGAACTTTGCCACGGTGGGGAGCAGAGGGTCGGGAATTGGCTCCCGTGATGTTGCTTCTTCTTCCAGGACCACATGAACCATCAGCTCCAAGACGTGAGGGAAGTAGGGCAGGGAGGCACAGGACTGAGCAAGCATCAAAGCCTGCAAGAAAAAAAAAAAAGGTTGTTTTTCTCCTCAGAAACCCTCTCATAAGCCTGTGTCACACTCCCATGTACCTGTTCACCCAGGTTTCGAACCAGCAGCTGCCTCAGGATGTGATGGAGATAGATTTGGGAGGTCCTCTCTACGGTGCAGTAGGGAAACAGCGCCTCCAGTGGTTCAGTGGATCCCTGCAGCCCGTCGTAGAGCACGGTCTCATTGGTTGCCCCCAGAACCAGCGCGTCCTCAAACAGCACAGCCAGAGGGTAGATGTTGATGTGGAAGGGCAGCATGATGCGTCTGGAGAGGAACGAGTGGGGCTTCCGGTGGTCCCGCGGAAACAGCGGCAGCCACACTTTCATTCCTGCTTCTCCACAGGACAACCACAGGGCCTCCAGCAGGTGGCGCTTCTTCTTGTTTGAGCGACAGGTGGTCCACACGTTCTCCACACACTGGGCCAGAACCACCGGAGGACAGAATGGCAGCTAAAGAATAAAGATAAAAACTATTAAATAAAGAGAAATCCTAAAATCTGAAGAGACCTATGAGGAGTTTGGACTCACTAGCTTCTTGTTGACGACGGGCGTCTCTTTCTCCCGTACCTGCGGTCCTGAGCGGTCCCTCTGCAGCATGATCAACTGGCCAGCCAGATTCAACATGATGCTCTCTGCGGTGCAGGCCTGACACGAACGCACGAACACAGATTAAAACACACCTCTGGTTTCGCCTCAGAGATCAGCCTGCTCATGTGTGCTGACTGATACCTGCTGTGGGGCTTTCAGGGTGATGCCGGTCTCTGTGCGCACAGACGTGAGCGTGACAGAGACCACGAGAGCCGGGTGAGGGATGTAGCGAGACATGGAGACCTCCTGCAGCAGCTCCACACTTACAGATGGATTTGGACTGGAAGGAAAAGTGCAAATAGGCAAATTGTTGGTCAGGAAATACTAAAGTCAATGCAAATAAATATTATCATAAATTGTCAATGCTGCTGTCTATGTCAGCTTTAAAAAAAATGCTGTTCTGTTATTATTTACAATTTTGTTTGTGAGTATTTCCTCTCTTTGCCAGAAGGGGGAGACAAAAGCTCAGGAGAAGATTTTGAAAATGACAAGAACAAACTGTGCCAAGTTATAGATCAGATGCCCAATAGATCTGAACTGAACCCACTCACCCATCATTCCTCTTCTCTAAGCTGTAGAGGCAGATGGAGCAGTCGGATCTGAACAGGATGACCATGTCTCTGAAGACGTTGAGCAACAGAGTGTCAGAATGCAGCTTGGTGACAGATGCAAAGGCGTTATCCAGGTTGGATGAGCGTTGATAGATCCTCAGCTGGAGCCAGAGGATAGAAAATGAAGTCAGAACTTTAAATCATATGACGCTGATGTCATACGGAGTGATGCTCTCACCTGCTCTTGTTGGTCTGTAAAATTGTAGCACGCCACTACAACAAAGTTGTTCCACCAGGCCAGACCTCCTGTCACGGTCATGTTTTGCTCCTACGAAGGAACAACTTTGGGTTACTTTTGCAAGTTTCCAGGATTTTCAGTCTTGAAAAATGACACCAGGAACCTTCAGCATTAAAGGGGAAAAATTATACTAATCTGACATTTTGCATCTTTTGTGCTGCCATACTGGCATAGAACCACACCTCCACCACCACCAACTGCTAAAGCCTAATGTATACTTCTCCATCAGCTCCACGAGGGAGAGACACGTACACACGGACGGAGACAATTTGCCCTCAAACCTCTCCGTCTTCTGGGGAGTGTTGCAAAAGCAATTCCCCGCCAGGACAACAGAGGGCGTAGCGCTGTTCTGGGTTACCCTGTCATGCATCCGGTCCAAGATAGTGTGTTTATATCGTGTTTTTCTGTATTTAAGAGACTTTTTAAGACGGACAAATTTGCCCCTCATTCTCCTCCACCTCGCCACCTCTAATCCCACGTTTCTTGTCATTTCCGTCCACTAATAAAATGCTTGCTGCACATACTTTCACTCCTCCAGCCACGGGGGAATAAGACAGTCACATTTTTAAAGTTTTTCCATGGGTACTCTTCAAGCTGCTCTGTGTCTGCCGCTAGATGTCCTCGGCACTCTTTATGTTTTTGAGGGAGCAATGGCGGTGCTGTGGACGACAGCCGCGTCCTGACCAGTCACAAGCTTGCGTTCTTTGTCTCGATGGATGGATGTTTAGAAAAGAGAGCTCGACACCGTCTGTCCTTGCGAGCCTGTCGGAAAGCCCTCGAAAGGACGGACAATGGCGTTGCGTGCGTCCGTCCCGAAGTATAAATTAGCTAGTTTTAACTAGAGCGCTGATTGTAGCGAAAACATGAATGTGGCACGTGACACAATAGGTTTTAAAAAAGCCAATTAGGGGATGGATGGGCGTGACCCTCCAGCTTGTTCTCCTTAACCCTCTGGAGGCAGGCGTTGCAGATTTGCAACGTTAAAACCTACCTACCTGGTTACTCCACATACGTATTTCATGAGCCTTTTTTAACTCAGAAGTACCCTGAAGGACTTAGTTGTTCGTCGTTTTATCAAAACTTATTTTGAGCCTGAGAGGGTTAAAGTGACAGAGCCCTGGAACGGCTCATTCTGGAAGGTACTGAAAACGTCATGAATAAAACTGCTGAAATCCCTTTATGTGAGAGGGATGTGGTACTTTAAAAATCCATCGTGAACGTGTTTTATATCAACCATAGAACTGTTATACCTTAAGAAAAAAGGTCAGTGAGTGAACCGATTCTCACACTACACCCTTACGTATTTTTGAGTGGAACCTGTAAATAAGCAAATCAGAAAGCTTTTCATGATCCTCAGTTAACAGAGTCAACGTACCTGAGTGACGTTCCCAAACAGCTTCCACTTCCTGGTGAATAAGGAGTAGTGTGCAAAGCCCCGCCTGCCCGCTACAGCTATGCACTGGCCCACTGAGTCTATGGCTGCAAACTAAAAACACACACACACACACACACACACACACACACACACACACACACACACACACACACACACACACACACACACACACACACACACACACACACACACACACACACACACACACATGCAAACATTAGGAACCCTTTACACAAAATTACACGCATAACTTTGTTTCAATAGTTTCAATAGACATTTTTTGATTATGAACACGTGAAAAAAACCATTTTAAGTTTGTTTGTACAGAATTATATCAGCTTAATGAACTCTGGGTGGGGGCACCTAAGACTGTTGTAGGGACACACAAACAATCCTGCAGCATAGCTACTTAAGACTCAGCATCTGAGCAAATGCAGTCTCATCAAGATAAGTAAAATGCTACTAACATGATAAAAGGCCTTGCATTTACATTCAAACAGCAGTGAGACTAAACAGACTTGAATGTAGACACAGATAAAACAGCAGGGTGTGAGATTTAAAAAAAGCTAAAACTGCCTCCAGATTATTTGTAAATACAGCTCATGAAAGAGGAAATGAGAAAGAATCTGAACCCTTAAAATAAAGTAGAGCTTCATTTTATTATAGAGGAAGTCATTAAAACTGCTGAGGGATTGTTTCTGAAGACGTTGTTTCAAACATAAATAATACCACAATTTACATCCTACCTGATTTATATTACACACACAAATATAAATGTCACATCCCAGAAAATAAATAAATAAATGAACTAAAGGAACAATTAAAGCTATAAAATTACAATGTAATGGATTTTATAAGTTTGTATAACGCACCATCATGCACTTACCCGTATAGGCCAGTTGCTCTCAAGGTATGTGCTGTGGATCTACAAAAGTAAAAGCATCTCATCATTCACCTGGACTTTTTAATGATTAGTTCTTGCAGCCAGGACCCCCCCCCCGTCTCTCACCTGGACCACCTGCCAGTGCTTGTGTCCCAGTAAAGTGCTGAGTCCCTGAGAGAGAGAGGAGTCGGGGTTGGGGGGTCGATGCAGCGGGCTACCGTCACGTGGGTGCAGGTGCGAGTGCGAGTGTGTGTCGGAGGTGCTGTGGATCTGCGTGGGGTCACCACAGGTCAGGTAGAGGCGGTCTTCACCGTGCAGCAGCACCTGCTCCTGGTTGGTCTGTTCAGCCAGGAAAGGAACAAAATAAAGAATGAATATTTAATGCAGTGGTTTGTTTGTGTAAATAAGCAGCAGGAAAGTTTCTTCTCACCGTGCAAGGGTTGACTGTGAGGGCGCTCTTAATGAAGTGGAACTGCAATATGCCGGCCTGCAGCGAAGGGTGAGGAGGGGAGATCATCTCCACATCCTGCTGCTCCTCCTCCTGTTTCCTCCTCTCCTGTTTGTAAGGGAGCACCCACAGGTGGTAGCCCTCTGCTCCCCAGCTCTGGGAACCAGCAGAGAGCCAGTGTGAGACAGAGAGCAAAGTATGTGCTTCTAGTAAACGTACTAGTGTACAAAATCAATGCTTTATGATAGAAATGACAGAAATAAATGGCAATCGGTGCCGAATTTGGGTTTTCACAATGAAACACGATTATTTTAGCAAAGCTGGCTCAAGATACTCAAACAAATCAGGACTTTTATTTCAAATTTGGCCTAAAGACATGACAGTGAGAATCCACACACCATAGAGCTGATTTTAAGTGGGTCCTTCTTCGTACCATCAGAATGATACCTGAGAAAAACAGACAGAACACAGAGATTTACACAAAAAACACACAGTTAGTTTTATTTATGTTGAGAATGAATGAGATGCTACAAACTCTCTCTCTCTGTGTGAGCGACCACTTACGCAAAGTCCTCTCCCAGAGTGCAGATGAGATGAGCACCAAACACACTCCACAGCGAGAGACCGCCACACTCCCAGGTTACCATGACAACGCTGTAGTCAGGTGACCAGCAGATCAGCTTCACGGAGCCGGTCTTGTTGTAGATGTCTAAAGGGGAACAGACACAGAGATCCTAGGCTCTTTTCTCTTCTCACAGGGATACATATATTTGTATCCATTTGAATGGAAATGAACAGATGTTAACAACAAAAAAGACCTAATAATAAGCTAAAGAAATAAAGATATTGGGAATATCTAAACAGGAAATGGTTTGTTGCGATGAATCAAGAGAGAATACCTGGATAGTGTTTTGGTGTGAGCTCCAGTTTGTGAGAGAGCTGCATGGATCCTGTGGTGGTGTCTATCATGTACACCAGAACTGAGCCGCTGTTATGGGAATAAGAAACTTAAGGTCAGTTTAAACCCGCACATGTGCACAGATACAACAACCCGGCAGCAGCAACCCTTCTTTTATTGTAGTGGTGGAAATTCCACTGACGTTTAAAAGCTCCTTTTTATCGTACAATGTTCATTCAAGTGGGTTTCTCCTTGTGAAGCAAAACTGTTTTCGTAGTTCAAGGGTCTTCTTTTCTCTCCTCTTCCAGAGGACTGGCCAGACTACATGGAAAAAACTTTAGACACTAAAAAGGATAAATAAATAAGTAGGGAGCAGCGAGGAGACCAAAACTCCTGGCAGGAGGAGATCCTGACAAGCACACAGCAGCAGGCCTCAGCAAACACAAACACACACATTCACACAGTGGACACACACCACAAGGACAACAAGCTCACCATAGCACACCGATACCAGCAAACACACCTAGTAAGGTGTTGTAAATGCAGAGAGGGAGAGGAAGAGAGAGAGAGAGAGAGAGAAGGCAAAGTGAAAGAGCAAGAGAGAGAAATGAACCCACCTGGAGCAGCCAAAAGCCATCAGTCTGTATTTGTTGTTGACAGCAACACAGGTACCATCGAATACGTCAGCTGCCCAGACCCCCTGCAGCTGCTGAACACACACACACACACACACACACACACACACACACACACACACACACACACACACACACACACACACACACACACACACACACACACACACACACACACACACACACACACACACACACACACACGAGTTAAGGTCAACAGTACTTTACTATTCAGTAGCAAATCTGAATTGACTTCGACATTTGTAGTGTTACCATGGTCACCTCTAAACCCACTGTGCAGTTTAAAGGTCCTCGTAATACAATAACCATCTATTTGGATGTGAAAATAAGCAGCTGATGAGGCCACAGTGGTTAGCATCCTACAACGAACACTAACAACTGCAAGCACAGTAGTAATCGGATTACATTTTAATATTGTATGCTGTGAGTCACTGTTATTGTTTTGTGTGGAGGTTTTGTGCGGTCACATAAGTATGAAAAGGAATGCCAGAAATAACACAGAGGGGGCTCTGTCACCCAAAAACTCTTCACAACTCAGAAAGCAACGCTGACTCGAATTTTCTTCAAATAAACGAAGATTTTTTAGAAATTCTGGAATCGATGCAGGAACTTTCCTTTTTGAATCATGTACAAAATATTAAAGTACAGGGCTAGCCTCGTTCTGCAGTTAGCATTAATGTGACCAACATTTCGAAGGTCTTTGCTGGAGTGGGTTGCCACATGCTACTGTAAGGTGGCGTGCCTAAGCTTATGATGTGTTGAAGCAGCTTTTATCAGGACGAATCGTTTCTCAGCGGCCATTTTAACATTACTGACCTCCAAGCTGCCTATATTCAACAAAAAGGTAAAACTGTTGTTTGAGACCATAAACTCTTGAATTTAAGGGTAAAGTTGATTCTGTGACTCCCTATAAGTAAATAGAAGAGATGCTAACAGCGGCTCCTGTAGTCATTAGCTTGCAGACCTCTTCTCATGTTACAATTAAACAGTGCAGCAACCCATTGACCTCATATGAGTAAACAGGGTCTGGGGAGGGTAACGTACGCACCAGGATGGTGTAGTGTTGCTTCTGTTCAGCCAAAGAAAGATGAGCAACAAGAATAGCATAAAGAGGAGATTGTCTCTATGGGTTTATAATGAGATCTCTGTGTGAGGACAGCGTGTGTGTGTGGGAATCGTTACATCTGCAGTGATGGAACTACTCAGAGGCGTGATGAAGCCCAGGCGCCCATCGCTGAGAACTACAGCGAAGCCGTCCAGAGTCACGCAGTACTCCATACAGCGGATGTAAACCCCCTCCAGGTCCAGAGAGGGACCACCTACACCAGATAGATTTATGAGTAAACATCACAGAATCACAGCTGTATATGTGTGAGGCCACTTATCTGACCTCGAGCGGACTGCAGGTCTAATGAAAAGGGAATGGTAGTGAGGCAAATGGCCTTGTGTCCGTTGCTGCCCAGTCCGTCCCAGTGCAGGACATGGAGATATCCGTCTGCGGTGCAAACCAGTAAGTCCTCCTGGAGGGACTGCAAACTGCAAAAAAACACTCATGAGTCATTTTGATACTGAAAAACAGCAGCCTTGATGTGGCTGTCACCAACCTACAGAAGAGAATTAGTGCCACTGAAAATAAAAGAATGAAAAGAAAGAACTTTTTTTTAAAGAATTCTGACTTTTTCTCAGAATTATTAAAGTCAGAATTCTGAGATTAAAGGTGCAGTGTGTAAGAATATAGTGAGAATTATACAGTGAGAAAATCCCAAAAGAGTCTAAAATGTTTCAGTCATTTTAGAAGGATGGTTATACTGAAACATATTTCATATCCAGCTGGCTGTGGGGATTGTCAGTTTTTCTCCTTTCTAAACAAAGGAAGGAGGGACGCAACTACTGTTTAGCACCAGTGAGCGTGGGGTTGCCGTGTCTCCTGTGAGCTAATACTGCAAGGCCAACAATTGTAATTTGACGACAGTTGGCAAAAAGCTCCAGAGTTGTTTTAATTGGCTCCAGTAACCAAATTTTAAAGTCAAGATTCAGAGAAAAAAGGTTAGAATTATGAAATTAAAGGTCGACTATAGAACACGGACAATCTGGCAAACTCTGGTGTTCAGAGGTGGTATTGCAAAAACAGAACTAATTTTCCAGCTGCTGGGATGTTGGTTCACTGCTGACACATTCCAGCACCATGTTCAGAGACAAAACATACAGGATAAGGAATAATCTCTACTAACTTTATTTTACAACAGTATTTACCGTTAGAACAACGTCTGGCTCAGAATCAGCTGCTTGACTTGTCAGGTCTGCTAACACAGTCCCAACCTCGCCTTGCTGAGCGGACTTTTTAGCGCAACGGTGCCCTCTAGTGGCTGGTAAATGTAAACATAAACAGTGTCATGCCCAACAGAATAAAAATTTGATTATATATGTGGTCCTCCTAGCTTCATCCAGCTCTGACCTTCAGCTCTTGCTGGGTAGGTTTGCGGCCGAGTGTGAAGCGGCTGGGATGAGGATCAGCAACTCCAAATCTGAGACCATGATTCTCGACCAGAAAAGGGTGGCTTGCCAACTCCGGGTCGGGGGAGAGGTCCTACCTCAAGTGGTGGAGTTTAAGTATCTCGGGGTCTTGTTCACGAGTGAGGGTAGGAGGGATCGGGAGATCGACAGGCGGATTGGTTCAGCGTCTGCAGTGATGCGGACGCTGAGCCGATCTGTCGTGGTGAAGAGGGAGCTGAGCCAGAAAGCCAGGCTCTCGATTTACCGGTCGATCTACGTCCCAATCCTCACCTATGGTCATGAGCTTTGGGTAATGACCAAAAGAATGAGATCACAGATACAAGCGGTCGAATTGAGTTTCCTCCGTAGAGTGGCCAGGCTCAGCCTTAGAGATAGGGTGAGGAGCTCGGACATTCAGGAGGGACTCGGGAGTAGAACCGCTGCTCCTCCGGATGGAAAGGAGTCAGTTGAGGTGGTTTGGGCATCTGGTCAGGATGCCTCCTGGATGCCTCCCTGGGGAGGTGTTTCGGGCATGTCCTGCCGGCAGGAGGCCCCCGGGTCGACCCAGGACACATTGGAGAGGTTACATCTCCAATCTGGTCCGGGAACACCTTGGGGTCCTGCCGGAGGAGCTGGTGGAGAAGGCCGGGGAGAGAACGGTCTGGAGCTCCCTAGTTGGGATGCTGCCCCCGCGACCCGGATAAGCGGAGGAAGACGACGATATATTTTTAAATATAGCTTTTAAAGGAGAAACTGTACAGCCCGGCAAACCTCTGAACGCCCCGCGGAGGTATTTTTTTTAAATAGTTTGTTATTAAATTGTTCCATATTCTAACTTTAAAGTCAGAATTCTGAGAAAAAAGTCAAAATTCTAAGATTAAAGTCAGAGTTCTGAAAAAAAAGGCCAGAATTGTCTTTGTATTAATTTTTTTTCTTTTCAGTGGCCCTAATCCTCTTTCTAACCCTCTTAATCCATACCAACTGGTCGTCTAACACACAAAACAACAAACAACCCCGTGTTTGTGCCTGCGAGGAACATTTTATTGGGTTTTTTTTAATGTGAGGGGTTTAACTGGAGCACAACTGGGATGAGAACACCAAGAGAGGACAGAACTGATAAGAGCTGGTGCTCCGCTGGTGGAGGAGGTAAAGTGTTTTACAGCAGCTTCACAGCAGGAGACACCCACTCATCTCCTGTACAATCAAGCTGTGCCTGTGAAATGCCAACACAGTGCTCTCATTCAGAGGACTGCCCTGTAATCACCATTAAGTGGGGGAAGATTTGGCAGATGAGTGAAAGACAGAAAAAAAAGAAAGAAAGCTGCTGTCAGTCTGCAGACAGAAATGATTAGAGGGGAAACAAACGGCATGAAGGACAGAACATGACAACAATTAGCAAGTATGACATGTTTTTTTTTTGCTGTTTATTTATTTATTTAAGTTAAAATCTTGTTTTCCTGTTTATGCACCAAAATCTGATGTTTCTCTTTGGGGAAAAAAGCTGCAAAAACTTTAGTTTACTTTAGATTGATACAAGATGACGACGAGTACATGAAAGATGTAGTAGTTATTAAAATATAATATAACTTAAAAATGTGATTTTTTTAAAAGTCAGTTTTATGTCAGATTACACAAAACAAGCCAACAAAACATCACGGCCAGAGTCGGGAAAAAAAACATATTCATGAAGGAATGTGACGAACAATAAATCTCACACAAACAGTAACAAAGGAAAACCGAAGGATGGCGTCTGGTCAGTGAAATTAATGATCATTTTATTATTTTTATTTTAGTGTGACTTATTTGGGTCAGTTTGCTCCTGCATGCATTTGTTCATCACCCTCTTCTCTCTCTCCTTTTCCTGCAGATTTCTGCTGAATTTCAGCCATCTCCTCCTGTCAATAATAACTTTCATAAGAGCTAAAAAAACACCTTTTTATTTTGGTTTATCAAGTCAAACTTCTCTTAAAAATACATCAACAATCTATGGGAGGAGAACAACCACAATAAAAAAGTTTGTAGGATTCACACTGATGCATCTGGGTAGGGAGAGAGAAACTCTTTCACCAGCCTTGGAGTGCACCTGACACACAATCCAAGGCTGTGAGATAGAGGCAGACAACACACTCACACACATTCCAGGACAGTGTCTACCTGGTGATCGGCACCTCCAGATCCACTGGCTTCTTCATTTCCAAAGATAGAGCGGGGGCGCACTGCTCCTCCTTGTAGCCGGTGGTCACCTTGACACGAGGACTTCCTCTGTGGAGACACGCGACTCCTCGTCAGCAACTAGCTGATTTACTGAAGCCTAATTAGACACCACAAAACTCAACAACAACAAAAGTTGCCCAAAGTCTTCGAAATGAACTCAGGCTCAACTCGCGGAGCTGACAAGGATCTGTGTGCGCGTCCCGACTGGCCCAGCTTCAGTCGGCATGTTGATGAAGAAGGTGACCCACTCATACTCATCCTTACAAATGCATTGGTGCATTGCATTATTTCCCATGCACACATTTAGTTTTCTCTTTTGACAGAAGTAAACAAAAGACACATCAACCTTTGTGCACGTGCATGTGTGTGTGTGTGTGTGTGTGTGTGTGTGTGTGTGTGTGTGTGTGCGCGCACTCACTTTGGATAGACAGGCTCATATAGAGACTTTTCATCTCTTCCACCCAACACATCAAACAGGAGGATGTACCCTTTTGCAGTCTGAAAAATGGAAAAAAGCCATTAAAATGACACATAAAGGCCACTGAAACATTTTAATGCAGAATAAAGGAGCAGAAAGGTTGCATGGACAATAACAGATTTGAGTAAGAATTTTAAAGGAATTAAAGTGACTGTGTGTATTTTTCCTGGCGATAGGGGGCAGTAGATACCTAAATCATTGCAAGCAAGCATTATTTTTTTGTGTTGGAGTAAGACCTTACCAACAGATGGATGCTCATTAGGGTCAAAAATCCCAGGGGAGTGCTAACTTTAGCAAACTAAAAAGCACATTAGACTCCCTTTCATCACTGGCAATGAGTGAAAAGGTAAATGTGTAAAACAACAACATTGTCTCTTTAAAAGTGACAATGTTGTTGTTTTTACCTTTAATCTCTGGAAATAGCCATTGAAATGTTGTTGTAAATGAATTACAAGATACCCAGTTGTTGAAAAATATTGGCGGTTTTATAACGGATAACCATAAAAATCAGGTCTAAAATACATGGGAGCAGGTCTAAGTCTCTGGGCGACGCCATATTGGATGCCATGTTTTCTTCTACGGAAGCCCATGAGGACAGAATGCATTTATTGATCTGTAACAAACGGTTACAAAACTTTCAGCATTAATAAACATTGTTCTTTTGTACATTTACCTCTTCACTTGTTGCCAGTGATGAACGGGAATTTGATGTTCTTGTAATTCAGCTGGAGGTTGTACTCCTAAGGAGTTTTGACCCTAATGGCCATCCGTTGGTAAGGTCTTTCTCCAACACAAAAATAATGCTTGCTTGCAATGATTTAGGTATGCACTGCCCCCTATCGCCAGGAAAAATACACACTGTCACTTTAAAGTGCTAAAACAGGCATTCAGTGGCTTTTGAGGTAATAAACCAGAAGGTTTCTAAAGAGGAGGTCTTGATTGTCACTAAATGCGTTCAACGGTATAAGCTAGCGTCACTCATTCATTAGTCCTATAACCTTCATATAATGGTTGCTTATATCATTATAATCTCTCACACCAGACATGTGTGGGAAATGAATCAAGTCTTCCCGCTCCTTTAAAGGTTGCAGGAGTGCATTTGAGTGCAGTTGTGTTTCTTTAACTACTGAACCAAACAAAGGTTTCTATCACATAAATGAAATACAAACATGTTTTAAAGAATTTCTAACAAATGCAGCCTTTTCTGCTAAAGTTTAAAACCAAGTTCGTTTTAAACTGAGGGATGATGGAGTTTTAGCTTTCATTTAGTTCAATCTTGAAAACAGCAATCGCACAAGAAATCAAACATGTTAATATGATCCGTTACCCTCATTAGTGTAAGTCATGCACGATTCTCGGCTACCAGCACAGAGCTTTAGCTCCATCTCTGTCAAACTGACAGGGTTAGAGCTATTTTTGTATTTTCTAAGGTAAAGCCGCTGTGGCGGCCATCTTGGATGGTTCTTGAACCAGTTCTAGATGCCAACCTCTGATAATTTTACCTATGCAAGAGGAGGGAGGGTTTTGGAGCTAAGTGATTAGCATAGCAATAAACCTTACATTATATCAGACTATTGTCTTAGCTTGTTATAGCATTAGCAGAGATCACTAGTGCCAGTTTCCTGCTGGTTTCAGATGTTACTCGCAGCAGATTTGATTACAGTGACCGATCAGCAGCTCCTGCCGAACTCGCTGAAGCCTTAGGAGATAACTCAGCAGTAAGAATCAGGTGTGTCTGAGCAGGAACTTATCAAAAACACTTCCTGTCCGTTAGCGCTGCAAGGCCACTGCTAATTGCGCGGTACGAGGCGTGGCTTTCAGCTCCTTCCTGGGGGTGTATAGCCGTTCAAACTTCTAAATCTCATCTTCCTCTCCTCGATGACCACATATTTTAGATCTTCCACACACAGCTGCTATTCGGGTTTAGTTTCATGAATAAATAATGTTACTTCCAGAACTGTGAACAGTGATGCAGCATTTCTACATTAGACAGCAAATATCAAGTAGTGAGAAACCATGATAAAGGAGGTGTCCCCCTCAATGCCTGTCTGGAGGATACAGAACCAACTCATGGTGTGTGTGATGAGAGGAAGCATACAGGCCCTTCTCCAAAAAATTAGCATATTGTGATAAAGTTCATCATTGTCTATAATGTACAGATAAACATTAGACTTTCATATATATTAGATTCATTACACACAACTGAAATAGTTCAAGCCATTTATTGTTTCTAATAGTGATGATTTTGGCAAACAGCTCATGAAAACCCTAAATTCCTAAATGCTTGAAGTCCAGTGTCAAGTACCCACAGTCAGTGATGGTCTGGGGTGCCATGTCAGCTGCTGGTGTTGGTCTACTGTGTTTTATCAAGGGCAGGGTCAATGCAGCTAGCTATCAGGAGATTTTGGAGCACTTCATGCTTCCATCTGCTGAAAAGCTTTATGGAGATGAAGATTTCATTTTTCAGCACGACCTGGCACCTGCTCACAGTGCCAAAACCACTGGTAAATGGTTTACTGACCATGGTATTACTGTGCTCAATTGGCCTGCCAACTCTCCTGACCTGAACCCCATAGAGAACCTGTGGGATATTGTGTAGAGAAAGTTGAGAGACGCAAGACCCAACACTCTGGGTGAGCTTAAGGCTGCTATCGATGCATCCTGGGCCTCCATAACATCTCAGCAGTGCCACAGGCTGATTGCCTCCATGCCACGCCGCATTGAAGCAGTCATTTCTGCAAAAGGATTCCCGACCAAGTATTGAGTGAACATAGTTATTTGAAGACTGATTTTTTTGTATTAAAAACACTTTTCTTTTATTGGTCGGATGAAATATGCTAATTTTTTTAGATAGGAGTTTTGGGTTTTCATGAGCTGTATGCCAAAATCATCAATATTAGAAACAATAAAAGGCTTGAACTACTACGGTTGTGTGTAATTAATCTAATATATATGAAAGTCTAATGTTTATCAGTGCATTACAGACAATAATGAACTTTATCACAATATGCTAATTTTTGAGAAGGACCTGTAAATGAGCAGGATGGAGAATAGAGGCTGTTTCAGAACCGCTCCACCAGTTTGGTGTTTGATCTCATTCACTGTGAGGCTCATCACAGAAAAGCTAAACTATTATTACTTTTAATCATCATTCAGGATGTTTTCTGCCCATTTTAAAGACTGAATTGAACTCAAATGCATTGATTGAATTAATAATTGCTAGACTGTTGCCATGGTGATGGTCAGTCAGAAACAAATTTGCTAAAAACCTGCTTCTCTCCCTGCTGCTAAGGAAACTTCGGCAAACTGAGTGCAGACTGAAACATGAAACGAAACCCGATCTGCGTCCTCTTCTCAAAGATAACGTCTCATGGATTTGCTGTTGGTGCACAAAACAACCTCTGTCACGCATGAATGGGATGAGTTCAATGGACAACAAAATTCTTTGTTTTCACATTATGTTCACTCAGGCTTCAATAATGTCAGTTCAAGCCTGTGTGCAACAAAAATCATGTGCTCTGGAGTGGCGTTGGCGCTACAGGTGGCCAACACGTCGCTACAGGTGGCCAACACGTCGCTACAGGTGGCCAACACGTCGCTGGGGAAAGTAGAAAAGGCAGAGAGGAGAGGAGAGAGGAGGTGAGGCCAAGAAGAAGAGGAGCAGCTGCCAGAGGGAGGACAGAGGAGCCGAGCTGAGGTCTGCTACATATATCCAGAGTCTTGGAGCTCCGCGGAGATGGTGATGCCAACAAGCTTAAATCAGAGAACTGAATAATCTGGATTACAGAAATAAAAAACATAACTTCTTTAAGCAGCACCATGAAACCAATGGTTAAATACTATACAAACTTCTAGATGCACACTGACATGCCCCAAGATTATAACCCCCTAATAGAAGATGATGGAAAAATCTAACTAAATTGTTTTTTAATCATCCGTGTTATTTTAGCAGATGTTCATATTTGCATTCTCAATATTTGGGAATTTAAAAAAAGCCTAACAGCAGGCTGAGACGTAACAAGTCAATAGGAGGCGATGTTAAAAGTATTTAATCGCTTGCAGAAAAAAAAAAGAAATTTTCACACTTCACAGTTTTTACAATAATCTGAATTTTTGTTCTGCGTGAGTACGCACCTCATCCATCTGGTCTACAAGATCTAGTTTTATGCTTCAAAACTATGGAGGCCACTTTTTTGATTGACTGATTTGAGAGAGGAATGGCTGAGTGAAGAAAAGATGCTTCTTGGTGGAGTTAAAAATAATCAAGTCTAGATTTAGCATTTGTCGTTTTAGTCTTCTGTAAAGGATCCGTAGTTGAAGCTCAAGCTTACACAAGGCTTATGTGCAACAGAAGAATAATTATTCTAAGATTAATCCACTTGAAATATGATCAGTAACAGGATGCAGGTAACTTAAGATGGCGAGGTGAAGGGCAGGAAACCTGTTTAGCAACTTGGTAACGGATCAACGGTAACGGATCGTCCTCTGAACACTTTTATTTTTAGATAAAAAAGAGAGGAAGAAACAAAGAAGTCCACATCTATTCAAAGATTTGCTTTAACTTGTCAGAGGAAAAAAAACTGGATGAAGGGAACAGCAGATAAATGAAAAGTCCGAAACCGGGATTAAAGTGTTTCAAGAATCCCTTTTAGTCTTTGTGATAACAGTGAAACCTCCCAGCCTCTATAGAAGGTCTATGAAACAGGATCTAAAGATGAACTTTAGCGATGAATGAACTCAGGGTTCAACCCTATCTGACCTAAATCTGAAAATCAGATCACCCGCATCATCAACAGGGACAAATTCCTCAGCTTTTCCTCCTCCTGCACTTTCTAAACCTGATGCTGCATTTAAAATAATAAAAAAAAAACATTAAAGTCCTGACCTCATGCCAATACATGAAACTGGATAGCAAGAAGGAAAAAAAAGCTGACTTCAGGCAAGGAAAATGAAAGAGTTTGAAAGTTTCTGTAGAGAAAAGGGAGAAGTCAGCAGATGTGTGTGCAGTGTGATGTGTACG